TAGATTTTCAGTACAAATCGGCAATTTCATACTTTAACCCCTATTAAATATATTGCAAATATCGTACAGAAAAGTAAATACGAGGTATTAACCTCATTAGTGAAATAACATAGCAAATGGGAAGCATTTTTATTTTTTTGAAATCCATATTGGCTACTATGTATTATAGTAGTTTCTCATATCCATGAGAAATGTGTTAACTTCATTACCTATACATTTTCCTATAATTTTGTTTATATGTGATAGTATAGTAACTGGTCTATAATTATTTATGTTTTTACAATTACCCATTTTATGTATCGGCCTTATAGTACCAATTTTTAATTTATCGGGATAATTGGATTTATTTATAGAAGAATTTATTAAATTAGTAATTATCGGCGTCAAATATTTTGTAATGTATTTCACATCAAAGGCACGAACACCATCAAAACCTAGGCTTTTTTATCATTTAAGTTTTTAATTATATACATTATGATTTCATCCCAGGCTTTATGTAATTTCGTTGCAAGCTCTGGATATTTTACATACAGTTTTTCGTTAACTAGTGATCTACTACAGTTTTGATTATAGTGATTCTCCCTCCCGATCCTTAGGGTATACGACAAGGGCACTATAACCTGTGCGCGCGCAGGAACCTTACAAGTTCAGGTTCTGACCTCAGATTAGCCAGTGTACAGGGTTGTCACTTGACTTCATACGTTTCGCGAGAGGATAGTGCCTCGGGTGAGCACGTACAGTACCCACCCTAATCTCCTAGATAGGTACCGGAGTTGTAGGCACGCTCACTTCCCGTTGCGTATTGCACAACTAGCGGTTGCCACCGTTAAGTCGTCGACTCTAGAGTCCACTACCAAATTTTCTCATTGGAGGCGGAGCTGTAAGGCACGCTCACTTCCCGACGCCGAAAAACGACGTCTCTCCAATTCCCAATAACCTAAGCGGCTGACGGGACTGGAGATGTCTAGCTTATCCTCTACTAGCTCTCCAGGCTCTACTACAGGAAAAACTAACATTTTTGATGTTTTGAATCTAAATAGTTTATGACAACCTCGATGGCACAACGGTTTTTACTGAGGATGAGGAGTACCATTCCCGGTAGGACCAATTTGGATTTTTTTTTAATTTTTTCTAAATTGGTTTTTATCTTCGGTGTTGCGGGTAGGGCCCAGTAGTGAACTCCGTTACTCCGGTACTCCGGTACTGGTAGTAGCAGGGAATTAAAAAAGGTTGAGAGCGGGTGGTTTGTGTGGTTGTTTAATTGTTTTATTACTCTTTATTTATTCAGAGCCTTTGATCATAACTGAACATGTCAAAAACTGATTAGATTAATTTCAGGAGAGCATTGAAATGACGACCATTTTGTGTCTATTTCTTCACCGCGAGAGCAAGTTATAATTTTGCCCTGTCCGCTGTAGAGTTTCTAACAAAATTTGTTGGCGTTTACCTAGAGGGATATTTAATATTTTTGAGATATATAATATATATTTTTTTTATTGTGGTTTATTGTTCTAAAAATCATATGTATATTTTAACAGTAAGTGACCTAGTTTGAAAAGGGTGTTAAAAGACTTCAGTGTATTTGTTATAAAACAACTCTAATGACGAAGTCTAAAGCAAGACGGTCGCGACCTTCAATTTCTAACAAACTACATCGAGCAGATTCTTTTCTATCCAAAACGTTTAAAAAAAGTTGAATTTTATAAAATTTATTGCACTGGACTCATGTTTGAACGAAAATGATAAAAAAGCATGAGATAAATTTGAAGTATAAGAATTTGAAATTTTAGAAATAATGTCATACAATAAGTAGTTTTTATATAAATATTTGGTTCACGAGATTCACTACATAAACGAAAAATATTTATAAAGCAAGTTATGGGAACATATTTTAAGGTTTATAGCTTAGCTTAGCCTACGTATGCATTAGTTAATTCGATGTGATATCCGTATTTTTGATATGAAAACTATGTTTAGTTAATAAATGAACAATTTCGTTGTACATTGCGTAAAATAATGATGTCTTTATTATTTATGTTTTAATATTATTTGGGATGTTAGTTTTTAGTCGATTATTTTTTTTGTAAAATAATTTCTTCATTAGGTACCTGCTTACCAACGTATTCATTAGGTATTGACTATCTCTTAATTGTTTGGACTCGATCGACACTGGGGGTCGTATTTCAAAACTCTACTCAATGCTCAAGTCAGGACTTGAGCAGACTTGAGTATGATTTCAAGCACTGGAAATACGACCCTAATAGCAAGGACTTGAGTATGATTTTCAGTGCTTTAAATTATACTGAAGTCCTTACTTGAGCATTTACTTTTTACCTTAAATTTTGGATTTCATTACTCACCTACTTTGAATTTTTGTTTCCTTTTATATTTTACCTTTTATTAACTAACTGTACAAGTGCTTTTTGTGTGTTGAGGACATTTTTCGATGCTACATACAAATATAAATCGTGATCATGTTTTATGTTAACAAAGCTACTAATAAAAATGGAAGATAATTAATTTGCTACTCCGCGAACCCAGTGATGGTTAATCGTGCAAAACAGCTGCGTTTGTGTTGATATTTTTTAAGGCATTTAATTTTCCCATACAATTAATAAAATAAAGTCGCTCGGCCGATTGTCGAGCAATCAACAGCCCCTGAGGATGCCACGTGTCGGGTGACTGTAGTTGCGCTTATTAAATTTAGTTGTAGTTATTAAATTTATGGGGAGGGATGGGAAAATTAATTGCATGAAAAAATATTCAACTCAACCGCAGCTATTTTGAACGATTTAACCTTCACAGGGTTCCCGGAGTAACAAATGAATTAACTTCAATTTTTATTAACATAGACTTCCTCAAAGCAGTGCCTACATTTATTACTTAACAAATCCACTTACATATACGTAGTCAAATGAATAAAGTGCAAAATCGCTTTTAATTTCAGTTAGTTGGGAGCCGTATCGTGGTATATACTTGTATAATTTTGCTAATTCTGGAGGATAGTACGTATAATTGTCCTCGTTTGCTACTTCATATTTTAGTGAGTTTCCTGCGTATATCGTTTTCATATATCTAAGTTGTGATTCGTCTATTGGTTCATTATTATCGTATGTTTTATTGCCACTCCCATGTTTGCTCGAATTGTGTATATGGAAATCTGGTAATATTAAATGTTTTGTCATTTTTCTTTTTGGTAATTTAAGTTTCCAGTTTTTCCCGAGTGTTTTGACATCTGTGGTATTAGGCTTCTGTGATGAATTATAATTTAAATCTAAGGCTAGTTCTTTGGGGATTTCTGATACAAAAACATTTTGTGGTTGTTTGTCAGGTTTCTGCGAACTAATAGAATGTTTACGTCTGTCCAGGTCTTTCGGTTCGGTCAAGAGTCCGACTTCAATATTATTGCTTTTCATTTTGTTAGCGTACTTATGCTTATTATTAAAATTTTCATCTAGTGCATCAGTTTGTTCGGTGTAATATTTCGCCTTGTAAATATATTTAGCCATTTCAATAATTTCTGGATCGTCAACAGGCCTTACTGCGCCATTCCTTGCCATGATTTGTGCAAATATCTCTCGTTTTAAATGTTCTACTTGCAAGTCTTAGTTTGTAGTTCTAGTCTTTCAAATGGATTTTGTGTTGTCCTTAGGTAGTATGGATTCACGCCGACAACTTGGTGCTTTTATACCAACTAGTTTTCACCATTAAAATTTGCCAGCGACATAGCATACAATAAGAAATTTAGTGATTTCAATTTTGAGAATTTTGACCGCATATGCTAAAAGATGATTGAAAATTTAAATAATCTTTGCAAAGAGAATTTAAGCACTACGTTTAAATCTTTGGACATACGATTGATGACAATCTTCGTTCTGGCCGGCTACTTCCTTTATTATTTTTACATCCACTAAGCCGGCTACATGCAGTAGAGGTCTCGTTTCTGTATATCGATTTGGTATGTCCAAAGCAGCAAATCGATATTAAGTTACAGATTAGAACGGTTGTCACACACGTACAGCAAGTATTTCGAGCCTGTGCAAGTCTACCAAAGATACTATATGGGTCGCAGATAGTCGTAAATTTCATATGGAATGTGCTCAGTGTGCCGCACTACCGATAATAAGGATTGGCTCATAAATTGATTCTTTCGGCATAAATATGACTTATCTTGCAATTTTTAATCGTTCAGGGGATACACTCAGTGGTGTGGTATTTCCTTCTTTTACAATTAGAAAATCATCGTCAAATTGCATGTTCACTGTCAGAATGTTTGAACTTAAATCTTAGACTATTCTTTATTTTTTAACCGACTTCAAAAAAGGAGGAGGTTCTCAATTCGCCTGTGTTTTTTTTTTTGTATGTTACGCGATAATTCCGGTATTTGTAAACCGATTTTCATGATTATTTTTTTGTTGGAAAGGGGGTACTTCCATAGTGGTCCCATTTCATTTTGAAGAAAATCATCCACCTCAAAGGGTGGCTGTTCACGCATGAATATTCATTTTTATAAATAGCGCCTAACTTTAATTTAGGAGCAAACTTTTAGCAATCATTTAGTTGATTTTGCTATTTCTCCAATTCAAGGCGTTTTTCTTTCGATATACTTTGAGTAGTGTCGTAGTGAGAATCTATTTTTATTATCTCCAGTATCAAGTCCTGTATAGTGGCGAACTAGGGGATATTTCAATGAAACTTAGCAAATAGACGTAATTCCACGTACTTTTGAGGTCGGTTTTTTAGTACTCTGTACTGAGATTATGTTCCTTTTTTTGTTTAGACTTGAAGCCTTGCGTCTCTCGAGTATGACGCACGAATCGATATGAAACGGAATTCCGTGATAGAATTTGACGATAGATAGATATATGGCCAGCTTTAAATATGACATTCATAAACAAAACTTTAATCGCACTGGACCTTAGAGGATGGAAAAATAGGACCTAACCCTTTCCTCCAAATTCTTTTTCCCTGTTTGCAGTGGAACAAATCGATACCTCCAATGACCATGACACCAGCTTCATGTTTTGGTCATTTTTTATTCTTAATGTAGACAGCCTTATTTTATTTACTAATATTATGCTCCCCAAATTTAAACGAAATAAAAAACAAATTTCGAAAAAAAGGAATTATGTGAAAAAAGCAACAAAAAAACAAAATAAAAACAGAGGTGACCAAAAAATTATGTTGGCGTAGTGTTTATTGGTATTGAAACGCAAACAGCCAAGTGCTAGAAACAAGAAAAAAATCAAATCCGCCTAAAAACATGACCTCAGGTGTTCCCTCCACAACAGCCGTGCGTCGAAGAGGCTGTTCCAATAATAAGTATTTTGCTGCTGACTTAACGTTGGCGATTTTAACCAATATTATCTGTCTGCACTCTTGGAAACTGTTCAATCAACATTAACTGACTGCATTCCTTAAAACTGACATTGGCCCAAACCTAGTGGCCGCCATTATGGAAATAATAATAATAAGTGCTCGCATTATGACGATGTGATGTAACCTTGGTTTTTCTTAAGTTTCGCGAAGCTAGTAAAGCAGTCACATCATCGATCTACAGACTGAGATTAGGCAACTTATTCTCCTGTGTTCCTTTTCAAAATTCGTGTCTGAGACAGCTTTTACTTTGGATTTCTAGTTTGGACGCTACCCTTGATCACATTTTCTTTGAATGTCCTAAGTTACTACCTCCTTGTATTCCCCGTCCTACTAACCTTAAATCCCTTCTTCCATGTGATTTCTCCTTTTATTAATATTTTATGTGCTTTTATCCGCTCTAATAATATTATGCTTTAGTTTGTTGTTTGCCTATGATTGTTCTTTTTCACCTCAGGTGTGAGCTCCATAACAGCAGTTCGTGGAAGAGGTACTCCCAAATATACCTTGCTGCATTAACGTTAGCGTTTTTCATACATATACACATATTAATAACGCACACACTCAACATAGCCCCACCCTAGGGAAATCCTGTGTCGTGGGTGCCATGGATATACACATAGACAACATCAAATTACACCCTAACTCACGATATAAATAAATGTAGGCCATATAAATATTTATCCCGGCCCAGGAATCGAACCTGGGACCTCTGCGTGGCAGTCCGGCATGGTAACCGTTCGGCCACGGCGGCAGTGATCAATATTAACTGACTGCATTCTTCGAAACTGACAGTGGCCCAAGCCTAACGGTAGCCTCTAAGAAAATAATAACTATTTCCCGTGGAAAAAGAACATTAAATTAGGTATTAAAGAATAATTAAATCTAAGATCCGGCAGTATGGCTACTTAGATGCTTTAGCCTGTCCCGAAGGACGAAAGACTTTACTACTGCCAAATACTGTTATAATTAAAAAATATATATTATTGAATTTAATAACGTAATAAGGTTCATTTAGCTGAATCTGAGTAATTTAGGAACTGCTTTATTTGTCACTAGTGATTACTGTGCTACTTTCCTATTACTAATTTTAGCATTCGAAGCCCATATATCTATGCTCTGGGCGCCTTGAACGGCCGAACTCTCTAATTTTCGGCCATCTATTGGCTCACCAGCCACACACTACATATCGGCAAACTCACTTCATGGCTTGCAAAGCTCTCCTCGTGGCCGGGGGTTGTATTTGAACTTCGTTGCACTAACTTGTCTCAACGAACCAATTTTTTTTATCATACCAGGTGATGGGATGAGCAAGTCTTACGCCTGATATTAAGCGACACGCCTGTTCATAACAGTTGCAGTGCCGCTCAGAGCTTCAAATTGCAAAGATTTGAGGAGCACTGCCACTTAGGCCTTTGATGTAATTAATCATGAACTGTTGTTGGATAAGTTATATCATTATGGAATACAGGGTAAGAGCCTCAAACTTCTCACCTCGTTCTTATCTGATCGGAAGCAAGTGGTAAAATTATACTCGAACGGTAAAAGACTGGAGTCCGTTGCTGGTAGTGTTAACTTAGGAATTCCTCTAGGGTCTGCCTTAGGAAACATGCTATTTCTATTATACTTATATAAATAACCTTCCCACTGCCATCACTGCCGACCTCTCCGTACTGTTTGCAGATGACACAACAGTCATAGTCAGCGCGCGCACGTACGAACAGCTGGGAGAGAGAATCGATGAAGGGTGTGAGCAGCTCCAGAGGTGGTTTTCATCGAATGGGTTGCTGCTGAATATAACTAAATCCAACATCATGGTTTTCTCGGGTCGAGGTCTCACAGTTCCTCTGTGTGTAGCAAGCAATTCGATCGATATGCAATGAGAGTAGGTTCCTTGGCCTCAGTCTGGACTCGAACCTTAACTCGAAGTGCCATGTCGACAGACTGTGTGATAGACTGAGTGGTGCAGTCTTTGCGTTGCGTAAACTGAAATTGCTCATTTCTGATTCTGCATTAAGACAGGTCTATTTTGCACATTTCCACTCGCTGATGTCGTACTGTTCACTCATATGGGGTAACTCCACTGATGCCAATAGAGTCGTGCTAATGCAAAAACGTGCCGTACGCGTATTGGTTGGGGTAAAACACAGACATTCCTGCAGAAATCTCTTTGTAGCGCAACGCATAATGACGCATCTGAATCTGAATCTGAATCTTCGCCCGTTATCCGGAGACAAGTTGACAAACCCCTAATGCGTGTAATTTTACCGTTATTCTTCAAAACTAAAATACATTATTTCTTGGCGGCAGAAATAGGTAATGTGGCAGTACTTCCCTCGACGAACTCTTTCACAAGGACCTCTACGCTACTTTTATTAGCGGAAGAGCTCAATGTGATTAGAAATACGCATACATCTCGGAAAATCGACGTTAGGGGAAATGGACTTCGTGTTCAGTGTCTAATGCGCGAAATTGAGCCGCCTATGTTTTCGAGGCAAGTTGTCATCGCCTCACTCGATCATAACTCTAAGCTCCCAGTTACACGGCCCAGTTACCACGCCTTCATGTACATTAATGGCTAATCTGAATTCTATTTACTAGGCAACAACATTTAAATTCCTCTGAAAAATACAACCGCGCGGTAGCGCGTGGACCGCTGCCGCTGCGAAGATCAAATTCATGCCAGCCTCGCCCGCGTGGCCGAGACGATCATTTAACTTAAAACGTAGAAGCTAAATAAATATAGCGTATTTTGCCATGACAACGCGGACTCCGCTCGGCGACCGCGCGGCGGCCGCGAGGTGTGAGCCCGATGAAAGTCATATCGAACAAATTCGCCCTAAGGGTCAAATTCACTACAACTAACAAAACTATTTATGTCCTGAGGCTTCATTTGAGGATTCTATGAATATAGTGTGATAAATAATTGAAATTTATATACTAGTTGAAATTTTAACAATAGGGGAATAATTTTGTGTACTGTTATGATGACGCGTATCAGGCCATGCAGAAAATACTCAATTATACATATATACTAAATCGCATTTAAGTCACTCTTGCAGTGTAATAGTACAAAAGCGTCAGCCTGTGTATATTTCTCAGGAAATTCAACACTCTTTCCAGACTTTGTGTTTATTTTAGTGATAACTTTGGAAAAAAAATAATTTGAGAAATTACCTGTTAAATATCGATATATAAGTGACAAATAAACTATAGAAAATGAAACTTTCGGATCTATATCGCGTATTAATGTAAACCAGACATATTAGACATAACTGGTTGATGACTTTACCATCTCAGTCAGCCATGGGACCAGTAATGGGCCCGAAACGTTGGTTGTTTGAAAAACAAAAATAAAAACAAATATACACAATTTAGATCTAATAATAATCTCAGTACAGAGTACTAAAAAAACCGACCTCGAAGTTTCGTGGAATTACATCTATTTGCAAAGTTTTATTGAAATGGGTTACCGGAAAATGTGCGAATCCGGATTCAGCCCCTAATTTGCCACCTTTGGAGGTGGAATATTTTCTTCCAATTTAATATTTTTTTAAATTGATTTATTCAAAATACACAGAATACTCAATCTATACTTATCAATAAGACTCCTTTCAAAAACCCTTTAGAGGGTTTATGCGAAGGGGGAATGCATAGCTTTTGTTACAATTTTACATACTTTCTTAATACTTGTTTGCATTTCCTAACATTCATTAACATATCTACATGGCAATATGTACTCCGCGGTCCTCATACCGTATGCGTTAGTACTTCTAGGCAGTTGATACGTAAGTAAGATACGTTAAGGTACATAATCGATTTTGCCTACTCGTTTTTGTTAAGACACTAATATTTTTGAATTTTTCTAATATTAGTAACATGTTTGATTTGTCAAAGACCGACATCACCTTACAACGGTTAAAAAGGCCAGTGTTATCTTTAAATTTATTTTTTATTTTATTTGGTACAATTGTCTTAATTAGGCTAACCAATAACTTATAAATGTTGTCTAAATACGTTCTGTATGTACGCCTGTAGCTACTAAGCCAAAGCAAGGTATAAAATTCTAAGTGTATGATGTGGTTATTTGTACTTCAATATGAAAAGTTTAGCATTAGGTAGATCTTACCTTGTTAGTGACACTTTCGACATGTGGCCCCTAGTTGAAGTGTTTCTCGATAATATGTATGCTGTTCAACTACGTGTAGGGCTAGACAAGCGCACGCGAGCGCTTTGCATATACCGACGGTGAACTGGTGATGCAGGCACTGGTGACCAGGCGCGATTATAGTGGGTACACGAGTTGTTTTCTTGTACGGGGAATGTATTTGAATGTTTTGGTTTTGTCAGCGTTGATGACCAAGCCTACATAATGAGCCCATTTACAAATGTTACTGAAGTTATGTTGAGTTGTTTTTTGCGCCTCTATTATGTCTTTACTATGAGTTATTAGGCAAGTGTCATCTGCGAACTGGTATATGAACCTTCCGAACACATGTTGCACATGTCGTTTTTTTAATTTCCTCGGCGTACTATTGTGTGTCTATTTTCATGATAGTTCCGAAACCAATCCAAAAGAGGACCCTGTATACCATACTGTTCTAGCTTGTCAAACAGTGTTCTGTACCGTAAAGTATAGAATGCTTTGCTGAAGTCGATACAGACAACGAGCACCTCTTCGCGAGCGTTCAGGTACCCGTTGACCTCATCAGTGATTTTAGATAGCAGTTGGGAAGTACTGCGGCCCCTTTGGAAGCCGTATTGTTTATCATTAATAATGTCATATTTTATTAAAAATTATTAATTTCGTGCCCTAAGTACCGTTCCACTATTTTGTCAATGCTAGAAAGTATTGTAATCGGTCTGTAATTGTTTACGTCATTATACGGTCCTTTTTTATGAATAGGTCTGATGATGCCGGTCGTTAAGTTATCAGGATATGAGAATGTGGCTAAATAACAGTTAATTAAATGAGTTATGGCTGGTTTTATTTCCGAGCTTATGCATTGCAGACCCCTAACCCTTATCATGTCAATGCCTGGACTTTTATTTTTATTTAAGTGTTTAATTATGGTAAACATGATATTGTTATTAGCTCGTGTGATTCTCATTGATACGGTAGGTGTTGTTTGGTACTTGACAACGGAATGTGGTGCACCTAACTTTTTCTTTCGATAAAAAAAAGATAATGACAAGTTCAACGTTCAACTATGCGATTTGTCGTACATTACTTATTTATGTAATATAAATCCGTTGATATATTATAATATTTATTATTGTTGACATTAAATTGACAATGATAACTAATTGTGTTTATTAAATTATTTTAATTCGTCGACCAACTAAAATAATTTCAATAATCACTTAATCACACAAAATAAAAGTACAAGCTAGAATAAAAATTTATGAGGTGTAAATTCAGAACGCATCCAAAGGAAAAGTGAAGTGTTTTGACGGCTTTTTTTTCTTTCATCTACCATTTTCCTCGCTATAGTGAGGTGAAAAATTGCGTGTTTCACTTGGCAGCAAAGTTGTTTTGCGTCTCGTGACTTGAAACCCTCGCTACGCTCTGGAATCTATTTTTGAACCGCGAGCGAAGCGAAAGTCGTATTCTAGAACTCTACTCAATGCTTAAGTCAGGACTTGAGTATGATTCAAAGCACTAGAAATCATACTCAAGTCCCTGCCATTAGGGTTGTATTTCCAGTGCTTGTGTTGCTAGCAGCTTGAGCAGACTTGAGTATTATTTCAAGCACTGGAAATACGACCCTAATGGCAAGGACTTGAGTATGATTTTAGTGCTCACTGCAATACTCAAGTCCTGACTTGAGTATTGAGTAGAGTTCTGGAATACGACCCTTAGCTTCCTTCGCAGGTTTCAATACAAACACTCGCGTCAAAGAACAACTTTCCAGCCTTGCATAACAAATAACTATTAAAACTTGTTGTAAAAATTTTGTAACTTCAAAGCCAAACAGTCTTGCTTTCATATTTCTTGCATCTCTCATCAATTCCGGAGGATCTTATATGTTTATTTCTTAATATTTCACGTTCAGCGTTCAGACAGCGTCAGGAAGGAATACATTATTTGCGTTCGGAAATTCTATTTTTCCCAGCCGTAGTAACAATGTTGGAAACAATTTAATCAAACCAAATGGAACCGAGTGAACTGAAAGAAAATAAAAACCAAAGTGAAATTAGAATAATAATAATGTCGTACCTTAGCAAACTACACAACTCAAGTAATTTTATAGTAATTTTCAAGGAGAGTGAAAAAACTGCATATTATATTTATTATTGTATAAATTGTGTACAAGATTTTTTTAAGCTATTATTGCATTGACTTACAAATAAATGGACGACGGGTCTAATACAAAAACCACGAAAAAAATGTCCCAAGTCAACCTATTCGAAATTTAAATTGTAATGTCATCGCAGTATCGCGCTGTCAGTAGAACAAATGAAGACTGTCGCGCTCTGTATACGATTTTAGCGCCTTACAAGTGCGGACACTTTTTAGCGCGGACCCGACGTCCATATAATTGTAAGTCAATGTATTATTGCCTTACTTTCTCAAACTCGTATCTAATAAAGAGTGATTATTGAGGAGATGGAATTAGATGGAGATAAAATTTTCTATTTATTTTAAATTTCTCATCAAGGGTGTCTATTTAGATGCATTACATATTCTTAAAGAATAAGTAAAAGCCAGTATGTGAATATGAAGGAAAGGTCATCTGAAATCAGACTGCAAAATTTGTATATACAATTCATATTTTCTTGCTTTCGTAATGAAAAAAAAAAACAATTCTCCTAATTGCGAATTATGTGGAGTAGTGGAAGATGCATATCATTTGTTACTGGAATATGTCCGGTACGAACAACAGAGCCGGCGTTGATGAGAGACCTGCAGATCAACCGAACATCCTTAGGTGCTATAAATTGTATATTAAGCAATACCCACAAAAAAGACTATTACTATTTGTTGAAAAGGCTCTCCAACAGCGCCGCCCAGACATGTAAGGTGTAGTTTAGGGTACGATGGATCTAGCATATATACATGGTATAAAAGTTCCTGAATAAATAAAAAAAAAAATCCATATTTTGCATTTTAGAAACTTTGTGTTTTAAGAAAGTAAAGCGACGATATGTGCTCCATTTATGGATAACAAATCCAGTACCTACATGTGTTGGTATAATCGCCATCAACCAATGTATACGTCCCAATGCTGGGCTTGGGTCTCCTTTCAGACGATAGTCCGCCACCCTGGCCCAATGCGCGTTAAGAACTTCACACGTTTGGTTGTGGACCTTCTTCTAAGTGCAGATTTCACCGCAATGCTTTTCTTCACCAAAAAGCTCTTAAATTTTGCATATAAATTCAGAAAAAATCAGAGGTGGGAGACCGGATTCGAACCCACGGCTTCTGCTTGAGAGGCGGTAGGTAAATCAAACCGTTAGACAACCACGGCTGTTTGTTGGTAATATCATTTAATGTAAACCTTATTAATTTATACGAAGCGCATACACGCATGAACAATTATCTAGAGAGGTTTTCTGATTGATCTGCTATGGAGGCACTAATTCTAAGCCCGATGAAATTTAACTTTATTGCATTTGGTAGTAAAAGGGCATTTCTCCTGAAATGCTAACTAGTCTGACTTCCGTGGTCGAATTTTTTTTCTTAATTTCATGAAAAACATTGAGCGGGAAGGAAAAAGAACTCAAACTTTCATAAGATTCTGTTAATCGCGCAACTAGATTCTTAACAGTTAATGACATATTTGATCTACCGAATTCAGCTACCACCGAAATCAGGATAATTTAAGAAAAGGCATAATTTTTGTATAAAATATTATGAAAAAGGCAATAAAAACATTCAATAATCTACATAAACATTCATTAATATGACTAACTATTAAATCGCTATATATATTAGCTTTAAAAACAAATTTATTTATAAATCGACCAGGACACTGCAAACAAATTTCGCCTAATAACTATTAATTAAAATCAGTTTTCAGTTTGGCTGTTCAGCGTTTTTTTAACTACACAAAGTATTTCCGTATCTCTTTTAAATAAAAATTTTAGAACGCAATCTGTAGCTACACAAGCAATAAATTTTTGAAACTGGTGCAATTAATAGCTCTCATTACTTTTTATACATGACAAGGTAATTCATGCAACTTCAAAATCCTTCCATCCGCTTTATCTTCGCATACCCCTGTCTAGCTTTTTCTTTAAACCTTTCGTGTAAAATTGCAATGTTTTTTTAATTTTGCTTTTCCAGCACGTTCTTTCATCGTCATGATTTTCGACTTTTTTTTTCTGTTTTGATTTTCCTTATTCATTTTCCGCGAGAAGCATGTAGTAATATATAATTGTGAAAATTAATAATATCAATTAAACATTTACATGAAAAAACGTATAAAATTCTTGTTTAAATATAAAAAATATGGCTTCGATAGCAGTTTTTTCCGATTTCTGTGTAAGCTTTTCTAAATTCGGTGGCTTAAAATCCACCGAATCCAAGGCCACGGGATTCAGAAAATATATATTTTATTGATATTACTCGTAAACGACAATACTTATAAAACCAATAAATTGTTATTATATTTCAATCGTTACAACATGTATTATAAAAATTAACTTTTTGAAATATAGATATATAATCGACCTGGACCAAATCCACCGAATTACGTAATTACACAAAAAAAGTCAAGAAATCGGTAACAAATTATCCACCTGTTCTGTCCAGCCGCAAAGGCGTGTTGGACGAATAATACGAACGAATTGCGAAGTTTCAAAATGCTTCGATTGTGATGTGTAGCGTGATTAGTAACGACCACCGAATTCCCGCGTAAGCCTGGGATACGCAGCAATCTTGGCATTGTGTTAAAACAATTGTCTAGTTTATTGTGAAATTCAGATTATAAGCACTGTTATCTAATTTATTATACGTGAACTAAAGTCTCGTATTGATATACGGTTTCAATTTGGAGAAAAATGACACATTGTGTTGGATTCTGCATTCGGGACACGCCACCGTCGTCAGGTTTTAGACATTTTGGATTTTTTCTTCCATTACATCTGAAAAGGTTTATTGGGAAGCTTTTGTGCTCTTCAGTTGGCTTTCTATCTATATTATACACTTTTTTGTAGATTTTTGTTCAGATAAATAAAAAAGAATTTGCGGGTTTGGAGAAATGCCCAAAAAATAAATCGGCAACATCGTAGAAAAAGATCCGAAAATCGAGATAGCGGGTAGGGATGTGGCTCGAGTTGTACAGGCAAAAAATCTTGGCATTAAACTTGATGGTTTTCATTTACGTTTTGGAAATCACGTATTGTATCAAGTTAGAAACTGTTTTTGTCGCCTTGAAATTTCATACAAATTATTATTTAAATAAGCCTACACGTATTAGATAATACGATCGCAGATGTGAATGTGAATGTGATGTAGATCCTTTCAGGACTTAATTATGGGGATATTCTTTATGGTCCTCGTTAGTTGAGTAAAACACAATGCTTGATTCAACGTGTACAAAATGGTTGCTGTTGATTTTGTTTCAAAATCCCACCTCGTAGCCATATCAGGGCTCCGTCACTCGCTTGAGGATACGCGACAAATGCCTACCGCTGAGTGTATTGCCGACAGTGCAAGCGCTCATATAAGTGTTTCTTTTACACTACAACCCTTGTGCAAACCTAGCATTCGGTTCTGCACGACTGCACACGACGAGCAAAGTTATATTCACCTTTCTGAACGCGTGTTGAGGTTCATTTTTCCTCGTAGTGAGCGCCTGGTTTCAATAGTCAGATTTAGGTAGGCTATTATAGCATAGGTATTTCCGATGTTGTAAGACAGTAATGTATCTGTTACTTAGTAACTATGAAGCAATCTGTGGCCACATTACACCGAATTGAAATAATGCACACATGTATCTTGCGCTTGGTAAGAAGCGCGTAAAATGTGATCTTAGGCATTTCTTGTTCCAATCCATAAAAATATGGACTCGCGAAGACACCCATATTTTGCGCGTTTCCCGTGTCTTGCTGCAGCCCGTACAAGCTGATGATCATTGGGTTATTCTTTTGTTTTTATGTATTTCTTGTTGTTTGTTTTCTTGAGTTTTCTCTGTGCGTTTCTTATTAAATCCATTTATTGTACTATATTGTTGTGTACGTGATGCAACACTAAACGTTTTACCTATTATCTAACAATTTTATTGATATTCACGTATTATTTGGACTTGAGTAACTTTTAAAAGTAAAAAACCGGCTATTTTCGACTTGAGCGATGTGAAACAAAATATTTTGCGTGGGTATCCTGTGCGCGCGTGCGTATGCATGCATGATGACTAAGAATTATTAACAGAAATTAATAAAGAATACGAAAACGTAGTCAATAATTACCTGACGATAGGCCTGGTTAATTTTTTCGACGCTTGTACTTAGATTGCATAAGCTTATACCACCCGTAACGAGGTGAGTCTTTCGGCTTTTCACGTTTAAGCTCATGGATGAGCTTTCCGTCATGCTTTATCATTCTGGAATAAAAATAACAAAAGCCAATGGCTACAAAAAAATTATTCGGTTCTTCTTTTGATAAATTATAGAAATTATTATCATTAAAAAAATGCTGTCGAGACGTCTAGCAGTAATCGCCTTGTGCTCATTAATTGCAGTCGCTGACATGTCCGTCGTAACTGAGAAAGACGGGACGGTCTGCTCAGTCTTCTTTTTTTCTATGATTGGTATCATAGAAAAAAAAAAGACTGAGCAGACCGTGACGGGATGAACAAGTCATGGGCCTTGTGGTAAGCAACACGCTAGTCCGTAACAGTTGCAGTGCCACTTAGTTCTTTAAATCACAAAGATCTGAGGGGTATTGCCACTGCGCCCTTCACCCTGAGACATAAGATGATAAGTTTATTTCAGCAGCACTCTAAGTCCTCAAAATCGAAATGCAGTATTGGTGGCAGAAATAGGTAAGTTGGCAATACTTCCCTGGAATTGGATTTGGATTGGAAATGGAATTCATTCACAAGGACCTCTACAGCTTCTAAAATTGCAGTCTTTAAAAGCGAATATTTATTATTACTACTAATCGTCTCATGTCTATGTACCTTTCTATTTACGAATATATGTAATTTATTTAAAGATCTAGTTTTATACGCGCTAAAAAAAAACGCCTTCCCCTTATGTCGTGATGACAGATAGTCATGCAGTTTAAAGTGTGGTGGCTTGTACTCGTATATTTAAATGAAGTTGTTCACATATAGTACAACACGATTACCTGTCGTTCACAACTTTTATGGCGTTATGACGACAGACTGTCGTAACAATGGAAAGAGCTACAACGACAGTCGTCCGATGATAATACGATATAAATGTGACGACACACAATAGCAGCTTCAAAACGATTCTTTTTTTTTTACGGCTTGCAAGGGCGCATTTGACCTCCATCTTACTTATGGAAAGTGAAGATAAGCTCGACGATGGAGCATGTACACCTAAATAATGCCTATTCACTCTAGCCTTGAAAAGGTGCAAGTTTTAACGTTCAGGGAACAAATCTGCAGGCAGGGAATTCCACTCCATAGCCGTTCGCCATATAAATGTGGAAGCGTAACGCTTCATGCGAGTCTTTGGAGTATCCACAACATACAGGTGGAACCCAAGCCTATGTCTAGCCCTCAATGATGGAAAGGGAAGGCGGAATTAAATCGTGTAATTCCATCGCACATTCTCCTTGATATATCCTGTAACATACCGATAAGCAGGCAACTTTACGACGTTGTTCAAAGCTGTGCAGCTTCGCCTCTACTAATTCTGAGTCTTATAGGTAAGGCTCTTGGTACGGTTGTCAATTGAATCCAAGGTGGCCAGTTGGTAGCAGAGCCATCCCAAATCGCAGCAGTACTCCATACACAACTGGACTTGAGCTTAATCCAGCTGAAGCAACTGTCCCGGTGTAAAGTAACGCCTCACCATCCTCGAAAGGATGCCAAGCTTCCTTGCTGAATTTTTCAGAAAAGCAGGGCTGCCGTGAACCAATAAATTGTCAGTTAGATACGAGAGTAGCTCAACGATAAAATAAACGTTCACGACACAGTCACGATAGATAGTTGTGATTTTGGTACCGTCGTCTCCAACGATAAATAAAACGTTACGACATAATGGAACGCGTCCTAATTAGAACTTAGCTACCTGATTTAGGATTTGAGCGAGGGTGTGGGATTTTGTTATCGGGGCTTTTATTCCAAGATTCTCGGTCCCGAAAACTTCGAGTCTCGAGATTTTTTTGGCGTTTTCAAGAATCTGATGTTTTGTGTCTCGGGAACATAAGTTACTTATTTAAAAAGTATTAAAGGTCTCCTATATAGAGTACAGCTTAGTATAATCTGCGGAGATTCAAGAACGATAGTAACAAAATCAGGCCCAATCTGTCTGAATCTGAATTAAACGCCCTTTCTTTATTACGGAGCGACTATCAAAAAGAAAAAATAAGTCATAAATACTATTTCATTTCATTATTTGAATTAATAAAGAAGTTAATTAAAAGATCATCTTTCGATTGCCTAAATGCGTAGCCTATTAGCGCGAGACGCAGAAATGCAGCGTAACTGAAAACCCTAGTACCTATTGTGTATGTATGTATGTATCTCTGTCTCTAACTTACGTGCTTACTTACTTTTGACGACGCAGTGTGATAGCCACAACTGTAAACACTGTTCCGCACAACACAGCGCCGAGCAGTTCAACACTTAAGCCCTACAAAGTGAAGATATGACAACAATTATTTTTGTTTATTAATAATACATAGTAACATTTTAATATCTAATACATATCGCGTTTATTTACTTATTATTAAGTAAATCAACGTTTCAAAAAAGATTGATTTCTAATGTGTAGCAATCGCAAAAATTTAAGAATCCAAAAAAACTGAATTGTTACGAAGTTATTTTATGTGAAATCCATAATTCGCATTTGACCGTAGATTTAGTATATAGGTACCCACTAAATCTATGCATTTGACCAATACGGGTGGACTATGCTCCAAACCCTAGCTAGATAGGGCCGACACCTCTTAGTGCTCTAATAGGGTTTAATACTTTATACATTCGTGTCGAGCTTAATTAAGCTACTCATCAAAGTCAAATTCCTTTTTTTTCTTGAGTTTTCAAAATTTTTATAGACATTACAAGAGGTTGTTTTTACACAAAATGTATAAAAACAAGTACGTGTATACTACACATTATTACACGCAAAATAGGCGCCTTGTCGTCGAGTTGCGGACACCAGCCCGTTACACCAAGTACCAAGTAAGTAAGTACTACACATTATTCGCTTACGTGACATAAAATTAACTATTTTTGAAGAAAACTACACAAAAAAATAATATTCTTACCAATATTGAACCAGCACAAAACTCTATTACAAATTTTGTGTAAATAGGCATCCATTTGTCACACTTATCTAAGGCATAGACTAACATTTTTAACAGTGCCAAGTCCTTTTGTATGCCTACCTCGTTTGGTTGGCAATCGTATCTTTTTGAAGGATATCTTGTTCTATAACCTAAAAATTGAAAATTCCTGCATAAATTTACGTTATTGATTGACCAAGGTTATTAAACCTTTTTTTGTTACAGGAGCTACTTAATGTACAAATAGATCCAAGACGAAGATTATGGGAAATATTTGCAGTATCGTAAATCCTGTTTCAGTCGGAAATAAGAAGCCCGGAGACTTTGACTTACAATTATATGGAAGTCGGGTCCGCGCTAAAAAGTGTCCGCACTTGTAAGGCGCTAAAATTGTATACAGAGCGCCAAACTCCGCTTTAGTCTTCATTTGTTCTACTGACAGCGCGATACTGCGATGACATTACAATTTAAATTTCGAATAGGTTGACTTGGGACAATTTTTTCGTGGTTTTTGTATTAGACCCGTCGTCCATTTATTTGTAAGTCAATGTTCGCCTCCAAAATCGTATAAAGAAGGACGCAGCGTTGTTAACTGCACGTAAATCTGGTGGTATCACTTCGAGGGATAGTGGAATGAAAGTTGAGCTCAAAACTGTTTACATTAATGAACGTTTACCCGCAAAAAATAAGTAGTTATTAAATAGTTGTAAAGTGAAAGCTAAAGGCTGTAGTTACAAATTCGTGTGGACAAAAAAACTGCCGGATTTATAGAAGAAAAGCCGAAAATTCACCGCATATTCTAATATCCTGCGAAGAAGATCTAAAAATTATATTAATCTCAATTATGATTATATACAGATTTTTATTTTCTCTTTATAATGTATAGTAATATATATATATATATATTATAGTATAATAATATTATGTATAGAGATTTTATTCTTATAATTAACCCTATCGATCGATGCAATAAAAGTGCAGGGTGCATTTTTTTCAGATTAAAGCGGGTTCAATTCCCGCGTGTTGCCAGAAATTTACGAAAATCTATGAATGCAGTTTTATTTCTTTTAAAAAATAAGAATGTTTCCTTTAAGTAAAAATTTCTATCTCCAGTATTTAGAGTACTTTCCCTCCAGGTGGCATTACAAATTTCCACCCGGTATATTATAACACCGTGTCTGATATTGAACAACCTCGGTAACACAACTACATAAGTACTTTCCGTTTTTGCCGTTGCCGTGGGTGCTCATAATGTTTTCTGGAACTGGGTGTAACGGGTTTTCTTCAACGGCACGTTCCAGGGTCCAAAGTCTGGATTTGAAATCGTTACCTCCGCTTCGCTTTCGGCTTAAGTACGATGTTCGAGCAGGCAAGTGTCTATTACCAACCCCGCGTTTGCCTGTCGTTGAGCGTCCATCTTCCACCCAGACACGGCATCAAGGCAGTAAAGAAGTAAAGAAGAAGCACAGATCGAGTTGTCTATGCGAGGCCAAACCACGTCATTTGTATTAACTGAGCTGGCCGTTGGCCCTAGTACATGTTTTATTGTGCAGTTTTGTCTTTTTTATTTCTAAATACCTAGAAGGACAAAAACCCTGACTGTGACATTGGCAAAATGTAGGACCCTCATTTTTATTTTATTCCTTTAATTTTCTTATATTCTCGGCGTACCTATTTAATTTTGATCTTTTTTGTAATGTAAAATTTTAATTTGCGACGTTTGTTAAGGTTTTGTTTCTTGACGTCTAGTGTCATTAGTGTCTTTATTCTGACAGTGACATAGTAATTATTCTTTCTGCGATTTGTTTTGTTTACGGTATGACGTGCCAATGTTGCGCCGAAACGTTTTATTTTATTTATTTTAGTTTGTTATTAATGTCCAATGTCTTTGTGTTTATTTTCTAATTTTTTGTTGACATAAGTAAGCGATTCTCTTTCACACTGCTGGCGGGTATAATGAATATTTAGGGTTTTATTATTATTATCATTATTTTAGTTTTTCATTTTTATTTTACTTATTTTTAGTGCTTATATATTATATTTTCTGTAATTACATACATATTATTAGCCGAGTAGCAAGCATTAACATTCTTTCTTTGTTATTTTTACCTACCTAGCATATTCTTTGAGGAAATATGGGGAGGTAGACCACACACTCACGTTCCATCACACACACACAAATACACACACACAATTCTGTAATTGGCTTTTGTATTGCTTAAACACATTTGTCAAATAAGTTTAAGAATGCTGTTAAAACTTTGTTCATTAAATAAAAAAAGTTAAGTCGTACTTCTATTCCACATATCTAAAAGATAGTGGATTTCTGAAAACACATATTTCATTTTCCAAATAGAACTAATTTGTGGTGTTTCAAGTTTTCCCATATCACAGGTTAAAAAATAGTGCGCGACCTAAAAACAGAAAAAAGAGTTAAATCCGTGGCGTTTCTAAGCTATCTACATTTTATATGGAATAATAATTTCACGGTTGTTACTTGTTGTCAAATGTTAGTACCAGTAGCGAAGAGTGTATATTCTGGCACGGTATGCAAGAAGACGTCGGTTCGAATCCGACCGGATCGAAGAAATTTTTTCTGAGTGTTTTTTCTGAGTGTTCGATCTTTGTATTAATAATTATAAAGAAAATATTTAAAAAAAAATCAGACAAACACTGAAACATAAACAAAATTCTAGCATACGTGAACTTTCATATGTCATTATAATTTTCAGCAAATACAGTATAATAATACAGTAATTCTAATTTTATTATACGACGTCACTTTAGACCTTTAGACAAGACATCCTCACTCGCGAATCGAGACAATCTACCTTTCTCGCTTGCACCTGTGTATTTCTAAACGCTTGTAAATATTGTAGTAGTAGTAGTAGAGCTTCGTGTCAAAGAGTTCGTCCAGGGATGTATTGCCACCTTACCTATTTCTATCGCCAAATAGAAATGTCAGTATTACTGCGCTCCGGTTGCGAAGGGTAAGGGCGCTGATGAAATTACAGGCACATGGGACTTCTCAACTTACGTCTCTGGGTGACGGGCGCAGTGGCAGCCACACAGATCTTTGCGATTTAAAGCTCTGAGTGGCACTGCAACTGTTAGGGTGCGTGTACACGCTAAGAAATTCGACGTGTCTGCTACAGAAAAGAGGATTATGGTCTTGTACATGACAAGAACTTTGTCGGATCTAGCCACGAAATCATGTCGTGTCTGTTGTTGACGAGAAAATGATCAGAGTGTACACGATACGAATGCTTTCGGACAGACGTTACACACGGGCAAAATGTGTCAGTGCATTACGAGTCTTCCAGGTAGCTGGCGTTTTATTACTGACTGTGGGAAGAAATATGTTGTTGTATATGTTGATGGTTTACTGACAATGCAACTCACCCCGTCCCATACAATAGCGGCCGAGCGCGTCGTCGTGTCGGGGGTAGACAAGATTTTTTCTTGTCCGGCGCCGAGGCAGTGTACACAGTTCGTGTGTAGAAACGACACGAATTATTGCATAGACGACTTTTCTTAGCGTGGACACGCGCCCTTATGGACTGGTATGTAGCTTACCACCAGGCGCACGACTTGTTCGTTCTTTTACTTGATATTATAAATTAAAAAAAATACTATGAAAATTTAGTACTAGCGCCACAAGTGTAAATGTTGTTGACGTAGATTATCGTAATATATGTAGCGTACTATAATTGTGTAGTATGAACTCTTCGCCACTGGTATAGGTACCTACCGTAAAAAACGTACCAATATAATATTAAATAATTTTAAATAATTAATTCTAACTTTTTCTAATCTAATAAGTAGGATGATTTGGAGATTTATACAAACATCTTTTAAGTTATACAGTCTCGAGTATTTGACAGTGTAGGTGATTGGTTCTAAACAGAAGTCGTTTATGGCGATCAAGGCCGGCGCTGTAAAAGCTGCCATTAGCCAACTTGACACAAACAGCAGCAATGCTATTATCTGAGACAACAAAAACACATTAAAGCTTTCCAGAAATATTATAAGTTGTTTATTTTTTGAATACAAAACAACACAAACATTTATTTTACAGTTTTAATACACAATGTGACGAGTTAGAGTCTATGTACACGGCGTATTTTATACGCGCCGTAAACACCAGTCATCTGCGTGTATATGTTTAACATTTCCGAGCATTTTTGAGAAAATAAATGTTTATGTATGAAAATTGTATTTCCATACTAAATAGGCAAGCAAATTACACATCAAATCTTCATATTCATTAAGCCCTACTGCTCATTCGTAATGCAGATTTCCCTGAGAATCTTCTTCTTCTTCCTGTTCTTATTCCACGCCAGTTGGGGTCGAGACAACATGTATTTTTCTTCCATTCTTCCCTGTCAGCCGTCATTTTTACACTCACACCTTTTTTATCTATGTCATCTTTCACACAGTCCAGCCATCTTTTCTTTGGATTCAGATTCTCCTGAGAATAATGAGCATAAAACTCTAGGGGTTACTCTTAGTAAATAAACATTCGTACACATTTATCATTTAGAATTGAATTATTCTACTATTGGACACGCCCCGTCCCGGTGTAAGAAACTATCTTAAGCCGAGTGGATAAGGCTTAGAATACTTACATGGAACCTATATACCTGTATTCTTAAGTATGTTAGTAACAACAAGACGAAAGGTAAGGGTACGTGAATAATCCAGACAAACATTTTAATTGGGTATACGATCGGCCATACGTTCAATGTTCTCTGAAAGTTTGTATATTAATTGTTAATTACTTGAGAATAATTAGCAAACATTGACTTACAAATAAATGGACGACGGGTCTAATACAAAAACCACGAAAAAAATGTCCCAAGTCAACCTATTTAAACGTAGTGACATTGAAAGGAATATGAAAAAGCTAGTACGTTTAATTTAAATTGTAATGTCATCGCAGTACTTATAACTGCCTCCGTGGCCGAACGGTTACCATGCCGGACTGCCACGCAGAGGTCCCAGGTTCGATTCCCGGGCCGGGAAAAATAGTTGTATGGCCTACAATTATTTCTCTCGTGAGTTTGAGTTTGGGTGTAATTTGTGGTTGTCTATGTGTGTGTCCATGGCACCCGCGACACAGGGTTTCCCTAGTGCGGGGCTATGTTGAGTGTGTGCGTTATTTAATTTAGTACTGTCTAATTTTGCTTGCTTCGCTGTCAGTCGAACAAACGAAGACTAAAGCGTGAATGACGCTCTGTATACGATTTTAACGCCCTATAAGTTCGGACACTTTTTAGCGCGGACCCGACGTCCATATAATTGTAAGTCAATGGGTACTACTATCATTTTTGCACACCAAAGTTACCATCAGGCTGTTCCATCATTATCGAGGGTTTTTAATAACTGGCAAGACCATAACGTACAAAGTAAAAATGGCGGAAAGAGCTCAAGTGTACCGCGTACTGTTGGCATACATGCCACGCCCTCTTCTGTATTTAATGTTCTATGGTTCATACCAATTGTGGACAAATTTATTCGGGAACAATTTATATGAAAAACATGTGATACCACGTGGTACTATCCATTTTATTGATATTATAATGTGTAAGTTAACTTTAAACTTGTGTGAGTTTAAGATCAATTTAAATTAACTTAACATTGTATGGTCTTACAGATCTGGATTTATTCTAAGAAATACACACATCAAAAGTGTCTAGGGATCAAGTGAATATTTTTGAAATAAAAATTATTTAAGCAATATTTACCAAATCCAGTCTTCCAGGACGACTTCTTACTTTAATGCTTATGTTTTATTTAACCGCTTACCCCTATATTTAATTAAAATAAACTAAAATTGATGTTTTTGCAAATTGTGGGAAAAAACTCAAATTAACGGCGTCAATTAAATGACAAAAAAATGGCGAAAATGATGATTTTGCTCATTTTTATTGTAAAGATTAGAAAATTAATAATCTGTATTTCCACCATTCACACGAATCACACAATTACAGCGATTTGGCATGCTTAAGATGAGTTCATCAAAATCACTTTGAGGAATGGCCGCCCATGTGTTTTGTAACAAGTCAAAATATTGTTGTAGAGTATGTACGGTATGCATACTCGGCACAGCTCTTCTTTGAAGCATATCCCATGCGTGCTCAATTGGATTGAGGTCTGGCGATTGAGCAGGCCACGGCAGAACGTTGATACGAGCTTCGGCAAGAATGCGTGTTACGACTCTAGCCGTGTGTGGACGTGCGTTGTCATGCATTAGTTGAAATGAATCACCCACCTGGCCTCGCAAAGGGATGATAACATCTGAAACAATCCTCTCTGCGTAAACTTGAGCATTGAGGTTACCCCTGATCCAAATGAGATCGGTTCTTCCGCCGATCCAAATACCGGCCCATATCATTATTGTTCCCCCACCATATGGATGAACTTCCTGACAATATCTCAAACGTTCATGACGTCCAGATGTTCTCCAAACTCGAGTACGTCTTGTATCCGGTCTCATACCGAAGCGGGATTCATCCGAAAAGCACACATAGCGCCAGTCTTCTTCCTCCCAGTTTCTGTGTTCGCGAGCCCATCGTAAACGGGTCCTGCGATTGCAGGGTGCAATAGGTGGAACCCTGAGCGGCCTTCGGGATCGCAGACCCACTTCACGTAAACGATTTCGGATTGTTTGATCGCTTATTAGCAAGCCTGAGGAGCTGTGGAGCCTCGTAGCCAACATCATGGCGGTCATGGTACGATTCCGTCGAGCAGTATTTTGGATATACCGGTCCTGTTTGCGAGTCGTGATGCGAGATCGTCCTCCATGTCACTCGGCCACGCTGCCCGTCATGCGATAGCGCGTCCGGAGGCGACTTATGACGCTCTGTGTAGTGTTAAGAGTGAAAGCCACAGCACGTTGCCTGGAACCAGCTTCCAACATTCCGACGGCTCGCATCATCACTTCTCGGGTTAAATGATGTCGTCTCTCTATAATAATGTAAATTGTTTCGGTTCCGATGCAGATATTGTAATGATTTTGTCAAAACGCTATAACTCATTTTTATACAAAACCACATTGACAATCGATTTTCTTCTTATTATCGAATTTTAAACAATATTCCTTATTTAAATGTTAAAACTCACTAAAAAGTATCAATAGCGATACAAAAAAGTTAATATAATTAACCCTAATTGCAGCAATACTCTTAAACGTACTTGATCCCTAGACACTTTTGATGTGTGTAGTTAAAGTGTACCTTCATGACTAAGCTGATGTTGTGTATGGTTTGCAATTGCAACATGACTAAATCGTTCATTTCTCTGGTTACGTTTCTGACCATGTCAATTTGTAAAGAAACCCAATATAAGCTTCTTGTACCCGTGATATCGTAATGCTTGGCGGCACAAGTGTAACATCTATGGAAGTGAAGAGTTTGTAAATTCATTGTATTCTTATAACCCCTTGTATACTGAAAGGTGAGAAAAAAAAAATTAGGTATATATCAAGTTGGATTAACTTTTAAAATAATGAAAAGTATGCGAAGAGACAGATAGAATCTTTGGAAATTTAAAAAGAAATTTCTGAAACTTAACGTCTCAGGGGATATGCGCAGTGGCAGTGCACCACACTCACTTCTTTGCGATAGCTTTGAGTGGTATTGCAAATATGTAGTGCCGCATTTGCAATATAACTTAAGAAAAACTTTGAACATCGCCAAAAAACAAAAAGCATTTGTCCTAACTCAACTAAGTGCAGGAACTTATCGCGCATCTTAACCATACTCTTTAGCGAGTCCGTTGTCTTAACTGTTTATAAAAATATTTACGTTCGATGTGGTGGTTAAGTGCAGTGCGTGTTACAAATTTATTCCAACGCTAGAAGGTGAAAGTGTTGTATGCCCACTGTGCAAAAAATCCTACCACAAGGATTGCGTAGATGTCCAAAAAAATAACAGCATACCGTCATCGTCAACATTTTTTTTAAGTAAAAGGTTTTTTCTTTTTTGTTTTTGTTTTGTGTAGTTTCTTAAGTGCCGCAAATGTTGATTATATCGCTGAAATCATGCATGTGTCCGCACCCCAAATTAGAAGCGGCGTCGCAACAGCACGCGCAAACAGTGTCAGCACAACGTGCAGCAGCAACGTGACCAACGTCAGCGTTTCCCCCGGTTTGCGTACTTTATAATTTTTCATGACTGTTAACATTCACGTGATATGAACAGAGAACCTGACCAGACATAAATTACAATGTGACGATAATAGACTACTCGGCAGTGCACTGACCGAATAGCAATATGAAATACCAGCCTGCTATGTAGACGTTTCCTTTGTTTTATATTTAAAAATTATATTGTAGATATACATGCACACATGTAAACAGAATTTGTATAAATAGTCTAGTTTTTAGAAACAAAGATCTCTTTGAATCCAGACATCAACGCTGTCTCATTGATGACGATGGAACTCTCCTGACTACAGCATCCTCTCACTGCGGCCAAGACGAAGAAGTGAGAAAATCCACTCTCTGCACTCCTTATCCTTCCCACCTTCTGTCTGTTACCTTAGGTCGCATGGTAGCAGGCTTCCTCTACCTATACACGTATGTATAGTAGAGTGTGGTTAGGGCTAGGCTGTTACGTAGGAACGTAGGGTTGTTTGTGATAGGTTACAGTTTTCCCTTACCATTTCATGTATAGCCAGCTAGCTTTAATTATACATACAAGACGATACTCAACAGTAACACTTATATCATACCCAACAAATACTACACAAAGACAGAGATAAAGTTAGTTAGCTCTACATTTTGATCCTTCGAGAATTTTTGAACTACGCGACCCCTCTTACCCTAGGGAAATAACGTTGACAGACTGACTATTGTAGAGAGCTGCGTGTTGGTGTACCCCTCAAAGCACCAGTACGTAGTAATCTAAAAGACTAAATACTTAGTGTAACCTGTGGGAAAGCACACGTACGGTAGCGGATCGGTCGCTGGCCTCCCAGAAGCGGGTCTCACCAGTCGATTGAGAAGTCACACAATACCGTATTTAGAGGCGCAGGAACACTAAGTACTGACTTGTAGCTTGATAGGAGTAGGGTAGGGTACGTAGGACAGCAAGTAAGAAGAAAAGAAGACTTAATGGATATTTCAAGAATCAACGAATTCATCAAAAGACAAGAAAATTATTACAATGAAATAAGAAGGATTTGGGATAATATCAAAAAGGATTCACCGGCAAGGAAAACACAAAAATATATTGAAGACAGAAAAAGTACTTTAGACAGCGTTTATCAAAGAGCACTATAAAACCATAGACTTTTGGAAGACCAAGAAATTATATCGACACATAAATACAAGACGTTAAACTATTTCGACACACAAATAAAGAAAAACTACGACGCGGCCATAGAACACTAACTAAATATGAAGACAAACTACAACATTTAATGGACATCGCAGAAGTAAAATTTGATCAAACCAACGACCAAGACGACAGCGACAAGAGTATTTCACCTAAAATATTCGTACAAAAATACAGACTGAAGCAGAATAGGAAGAAGATATGGACAGCATTGACCGCCATCGTTGACAACAAACCATTGTGGCACTTACAAACACTGACAAGGACTCTTGAAAAACAATGTCAAGTAATTGAAGACAATCATATGGAACAAAATACACTCGACGACGCATATTTCCACGACGACTGCTTTACGACAATTCAAGACGTATTAGACGCTATATAAAACAAATTATAAGAAAAAATTTACGAACGAGACACACATAATAGCAAGACTCAATCATCAAAGTTTCCAAGAATTACCATACCAATTTTCACAGGAAGTTATGAGTTATGGAACTCTTTTACGATTTATTCAAGAAAATTATTTACGACGACTGTACCATTTCGACAACAGAAAAAATGCAATGCCTAAAGACACCCGTGGGTGAGGACGCAGAAAAACTGATAAAGCATTTGACGGTAAATGAGGTAAAATACAAAGCGGCGCTAAAATTGTTGAAAAACAGATACAAAGACGAAAGACTTATATTACAAACTTTCATCGACAAATTATTAGATTTACCCAAAATTCAGTTTCCAAACGCGAAAATGTTACGCAATATGCATGTCTGTATCAACGAAAGCCTAGAGGCACTAAACAACCAGAAAATTGACGTATCCACGTGGAGTCCGATTTTAACTCATTTAGTGAGTCGCAAGTGGGACCAAAATACCAACATAAAATATAAAGACCAACTAGAAGAGACAAATAAACTACAAGATTTCGGAAAAATTATGCAGTTCTTAGAAAAACGGTTCAAAAGTTTAGAGTCGAGCATAACTACAACTACAGTTAATACCACATACGCTCCATGATCAATAAAAAGCCAAGAAAAGTAATCATACATGCAAGACAAAAAAGGGCAATGTTGGCATTGTCACAATGAACATAATATTCACCACTGCCAGGCGTTTAAATCACTACACGTGAGTGACCGGATTAAAAAAGTTCAAAAAAAACAAATATGTTATGTATGTCTAATGCACGAGACGAAAAAAAATGGCGTCAGTCAAAAGTATAAAAAATGTGATATATGTAATAAGGCGCATTCACACCGTTGCATCGAAATTTTAACGAACATATATTTGCAAAACCGCAGGGACTACCTAGTGCTAACAAAAGCACGAATAATTATTCGAAGCCAAGCTCGTCTAAGACATATGTACCTAAGCCAGAACTAAAAGCACAGAAGTTTACTTCAAACGCCACTACACAAATGCATGGAACATAGAAAACTGTACTTCTAGCCACAGCCTTAGTACAGATAACTGCAACCGACCGACGGCACTTTACATTTATAACGAGTGCTATACGACCAAGGCTCTGAGACTTCTTTGAATGAAATGTTGTTTTAAAAATATACTCTAGAATTTATAATATTAATCTGAATAGCAAACTACTTCTTTTTTTGTTCAAGAATATATTTTCTTAAAATACACCCAAGAAATTTTGAATTCATTTAAGATTATTTAAATTTGATGTAAGAGGTAAAAATTTCTTGATGTACTCGTAAGTAATGTCCAATTAATTGATTAGAAATGAAATAAAATCTTGAAGTGAACGTATTTGTCTAAAAGTTTGAATAAAGTTAACAGTAAAATTGCATTAGAAAAAGATAAGCAGTATTTTTGTAATGACAATATTTTATTACTTTTAATAAATATTTTTTCAGAATTAGCAATTATTTTGAGAAATTGGTCTTTCTTATTAGTAGAATTCCTTTTTTTCTGTGCAGTTATCGAATGAAAGTTACCGAGTGTCCTATTGTTTACAAAGCAAGAATGTAATAATTCTTAAATCTTTTATTAACTCATACTATTTCTAATCTTCTTACTATTTAGACATTTTTTACTATTTTAAACAAAATCTGGATTTTGTTCAATTTTATTTATTTATTTTAATGCGAGACTAATGTATAATATAAAAATATATTTTAGATTTTAGGCCTTTAAAGTCTCAAAAATGTATATAAAAGGATTAAATTTTTCGACTAACTCCGTAAACGTTGTTGAATAACGATGTCGTATCCGAATCGAACGTTTTAACTCGAATGTTCTGAATGGCTCGGAAAGCGTCCTTCGATTCGAGAACGATATCTAATCGAACGATTCGGTTAAATATCGAAGAGTTTTGAATCGGGGTCCAGGTTGTCGTGGGAATACTACTTACACTTATATTTAGGTGTACCTACTGTTACGCGTAACTTTCAACTTCAAATGTTTTATAAACATTTAATTGCTTTTAAATTATATGTGCAATATGTTAAACAACTTTTTGTGAAACTTACTGCAATTAGTGCTTCGGTGCGATTTTCTTCGTATAGACTCGGTAGTGGCTTCATGTCGGTAAAGGCTGAGTCTGTCAAATACACGCCTAACAGTGGTATCAGAGTGGGAACAATAGGCAGTAACGAAATGATCTGAAATCAAAACTGTTATTAATAAACGGTTTTTAAAAACTTAGTAGATGACGATTTTTATACTGGACTTAAGTCCAGTACTAAAGATGGATCTTAAGATGCTCTTCAACCTCGACTATAATCATTGGCATCTTGAATGATATCACTTCAAATGACCAAGGCTCTAACATTTGATTTACTGCGTGAAGACTTTGAGCGGTAGCTACTGACGGGTAATTTTTCGAAAAATTCCAAATAGTGGAATTCTTTTCGGAAAAATTTTCGAGAAATTGGAAAAAAATAAAAAATTGGAAAAATATAATTTTGAAGCCTTGTGGTCTACGTTTAGAAATATTTTTTGAAGTTTTATTTAGAAAGAATTTTATAATAAACTTTTATAACTGAAATCCATTAAGAGAAAAACGAGATTTAAAATGATTTTACAAAAGCAAAAAAAAAATGTTTTTAATGGCTCCATCATTCTCGTTCAGTAACTTCAACTTTCGACAGGGTGTCAATGTCAAATATGGAAAATGAAAGGAAAAAATATCCGGAAAAGTATTTATTATTCTGAAAAAATATGATTTTTCAAAATGGAAATTTTTCCATGACCCAACACTAGCTGCAGCTAAAGTGCTGAGTGCCGAATGAACGGTGATTTTTATAATTCTGAAATGAAGCGTATCAATGAGTAATTACAGGTGTGCAGCCAAGTAATATTTTGTTAATAAATGAAGTAATTCTCAATATCCATCCCATTCTTGAAAGTATTACGGGCCTAAAAAATAACAATAATAACAGACTTGTTGTCGATTGAGGTCACAGGTTGGAGTAATTAAATAAGACCACGTCTGCAAAATTGCAACTTTTCAGGGGAAAGGTTTAAAAATTCTACCAACGAAATTAGTTGATAACTTTTTATGCTTAAATAAGGAGAGTTACGAAATTTCATGTGATACGTAATTTGTTTTATATACTTCGTATTTTTTTTTACTTTTATGCATCTTTTATGTGACAAAAGCATCATTATATGTGACTTGAATGTACATTATATGTGATATGTCAATCTTGAGTATAGTGCTGTGACGATGTGACCTCCGTCCATCGTCGTCCCACCTTTTTATCAACTTTTCTCTGATTCCCGGCCACTTGTTTTGAAATTTTGAATAGTTCTTTAATTCCTTTGTCGCGCCATTCTGGTTTTGTTTCGTTCCGTCATCAGTCCCTGCTCAAACGCGGAGGCAAGCACGTCTTCTTTCAAATTTCAACCCGTTTGCCAGTTACCAAAAATCTCTTGTGCGATAAACATTTAAAAGATTAAACATTTTTATATCAACCCAGATTAATTTCCGTTATGTCTTTTTCTTTTAGATCTTGAAATTTAAACTCGCTAAGCAAGGTGTGTGGAGGATGTGAAGGCTACATTACAATCTACAGGACATGCTTAAGCGGTGCCAGGAGTGCGTGACAACCCTTTCAGTGCTTAAGCTTTCAGTGCTTTCAGTACTTAGTGTTCGCGTAAATTATTGTTATTAAAAAGATATTCGGCTTTTCTAACTGTTAGTAGAAAACCGGGCTTTTTGTATTACGGGATTTTTTTTACAAATATGTATTTATTTATCTCACATGAACAAATAAGGACTGTTTACGGGGCAATGGTCGAAGTCTTCCATTAAGCCAAGCCATTATTGGCGTCGTGTAAATAGAGATAATCCATTGGGGACTGTCTCCAGATCAGTGATAAAGACAATCCACTACGTTAAAACGATTTGTAATTTTTCGGACCAATGCCTCCACTACACGTGATAGGCCTTGTGTGAACGTGCATCCTGAGCCACTCTACTAGTGGTTTTGCCTTCTAGTAAAGAATTTAAAAAGAAACTTATTGTAATACTGGTTGTAGTGTAGATGGACATTGTGAAATTCACATTTTTCACTACGGCTCCGCGTAAATGGGCCATAAATAAATGAACAAAAGAGAGCTTGCCACGAAATTATAAAGGGCATTATACGTCGGTGTTTAGCGGGTTAGCCGGCGGGTTGTCTGGCGGCTTACTGCATCACTAGCTGCAGTAAACTTAAAAAAAGTTCAGGAACGCGGATCTGGACTTTTTTATGATAAGAAGTGACGGGACGAATAATTCACGCGATCTATTGTAAGCGACACGCCCATCCGTAACAGTTGCAATGCAACTAAGAGCTTAAATCGCAAATATATGAAGGGCACTGACACAGCTCCCGTCACCCAGACATAAAGTTGACGAGTTCCACGTGCCTGAAGTTTCACCAGTACCCTTACCTTTCAAAACCGGAACGCAGTAATGACCATATTACTACTTGGCGGCAAAAATATTAGATGGCAATATTTCCCTGGACGAACTGTTTCTTAAAGACCTGTATAGCTACTCAAGAGCGTGCTGGTATTAAGAGTGAACTCTATCCACTTAACATTTGTAACAAAAGGTATTTATAATAATACTAACGATTATCTTCTTATCTGTTTTTAACGTACGTTTGGCTCTGCTGCATAATTTGCACATAATAAACCATATTCCCAAACATATGAGAAGGCAAAAAATAAAACATATTCCGCAAAATACTAAGCTCTGCAAAGTAAACATCATTAACATTACAACTGGCTATTACTCAGTTCACTAATGTCGCTATTATATAGTCTAAGTATCTTTGTTTGTAAAAAGTGCATGAAGCTATGACATGCAACCTAAGGCTCAATTTACATTGCGGTGGAACGGAAGTGAAGCGAATTTTTGTAACGAAATTGTACATAGCAAAATGAATATTATGTTAACTGTGTAACGTACAAATTATATACGAGCCAAAAACCAAGTCGCGCATCTTCCGGCGAATTCTCGCGCATACTCGAGAATGCTCGCGCATTGGCGGAAAAAGTGACTCCTGCCGAATCCACGGGATGTGGCACAAAGGCTGGTGCAATGTAACGTCAATCGTCGACGAAATAGATTGTGTACGCTGTTGTGTATGTGATGAATTAGATTATGAATTCAGATGAGAAGTTAATCTATTTGGTACAAAAATATGATTGTTTGTACAATGTACAAGCTAGAACTACAGCGACAAAAATTCTAAGAATAATGCATGGGGAAAACGTAGTGAATTATATAATAGTCATAAAAAACAAGTGGATGCAGACATAAATATTTGCAAAATGTTTTATATTGTCCAAAAAGTTTTGATGAATTGAAATATCTCTTTCACTTTTTCTGTTCTTCTGCTTCACAAATAAGCGAAATAAAAACAATATCCAAGTCTACCATCCTGGTCATGTAAAAGATCTACACTGAATAACTGAACACCTATTACAGCCTTAAAGTGCAGTCGCAAGAAAGCTTGCGAATGCTTGAACATTCCGGCGACCTTGCGCGCCTTCTCGTCCAGGAAGGCGAAATTACCGTTTCCGGTCCATTCCGTTCCACGGCAATGTAAATTGAGCCTAATGCTCAACTAGTTTACAACTAGTTTAGAATGGAAAGGAATTTTGGTAACGAAATTGACATAGCATAATTATGTTTATATCAATTGTGTAAGATACAAATTAACGATACATAATATTCTGCGGGATTCCCGAGACAACGTGAGAAGTCTTCGGAAGATGCGCGACCTCTTTTTTGGGTCGCATTTACTCCGTCCACTACGTGTCCTTGGGAGTCCATAATTAGTAATCTGACGATATTATGTTTTTTTATACAAGTAATAATATAATAAAAAGTAATATGATAGTAACATTACATATTAATAATTACGTAGTTTAAATAAAATACTCGCATACTTTCTCACACAATCGCAAGCACTCACACACATTCGCATACACTAATATGCATTTGCACGTACTCGCAAGCACCTAACTCAACTTGTAAGATTATAATAATTTATCTAAGTCGAAGTCTGTACTTACCACTTGGTTGGTTTTGTCGATAAATCCATAAACATCTTTACTACATCACTAATTTACAAGTACCATTCCGCGATGTTAGGCATGAGAACTTCGTTTTGTTATAGGCTGCTCGCTACGTAGAGCGTTGAGTGCGATTGCATTTTGTCTAGCACGCAATGAAATTTAAGTTTAGCTATATTGTGATTGTAACAAAACTTTCTTAATTATTTTACGTTTTTTTCGTGTTTATTTTATTAAAACAAGTTTTACCGTGAAAGGAGATGCCTCCTTTTGACACTCGTACTTTTGTTAAGGTAGAAACAGCACAACGTGGCAAGCGCAAGCAATCAAGTATCGACACACACCGAGGGAGCTTTTGGAAAATTTTGTGGTTCAAGATTATGTCACGGGTGCCCAGTTCACGTCGCCGTTTTCTCTAGATGTATTTCTGTGCAATTGACATAAACTTCTTATGCTATGGTTACTTAAATTCGCTTCCATTCCATTTCGCGGCAATTTTGTACCCCAAAAAAAGTTGCATTATATAATTACGGGATTTAAATTGTATATGGGATATAAACTTTTTAACCCTCTATTAACGAAAAACCAGTCTTCGTAAATACCACGAGAATCAAGACATTTCTTCTAGCATGAAGGCTTTATTTAGCCATTTTATTTTAGCCAAACATAGCCCCGCACTAGGGAAACCCTGTGTCGCAGGTGCCATGGACACACACACAGACAACCATAAATTACACCTAAATTCACGAGAGAAATAAATGTAGGCTATACAAATATTTCTCCCGGCCCGGAAATCGAACCTGGTACCTGTGCGTGACAGTCCGGCATGGTAACCGTTCGACCACGGAGGCAATTAAAGCATGTATGTAATGGTTTTTAAAAGAGAGGAAGATATGACGGATAGCACGATATTGATTGAAGGAGAAAAAGTGGAACAAGTGAAAGAGTTTGTGTATTTGGGTTCTGTGTTTACGTGTGATGGAAAATATGAAAGTGACATTGAAAGGAGAGTGCACGCAGGGAATCAGGTGAATGGTGCCTTGCATGCCGTCATGGCCAGTCAGAAAATGTCTAAAAAGCACGACTGGCTGTACATGGGGGTTGCTGGTTCTTACACTTATATACGGTAGTGAATGTTGGGTTTAGCAGAAGAAGCACGAAAATAGCATTAATGCAGTAGAAACGAGAGCTTAGAGTGACTCTGATAGATAAATTACGGAACAGTGTGATTATAGAGCGTTGCGGTGTGGAAGAAGATGTAGTGACAAAGATAGAGAAAGGGATGTTTAGATGTTTCGGACATGTAGAGAGAATGAATGAAAGAAGATTGACGAAATAGATATAAAGGCGAGTGTGAGCGGGCAAGTTGGTATGGGCCGACAAAGGCGAACTTACCAGTACCCTTAACCAACGAGCGTGTACGAAAGCATTCATGCGTGTTAATGAAGCGAAAGATGAGTGCCCACCCCGATGGGAAAAACGCGTGAAGTATATGTATGTATGTATATATTTTCTGTAATGTGGTAATATATTAGGGTTTTGCTTTTCGGCATCGCAAATATGTGTTCTGTTTACGACTTCGGTGGCCCAATCAGGTAGTAGTAGTAGTATGGGGAATTTCTCAATTTGAGACCTGGTAATTGGTGTATTTGTCTGGCACACACATTATGTTTTCATATTTGTTTAAAATTTTCTGCATAATATCATTTAGAAACCACACATTTTTGGACGCAAACGTACAAACGCATCAGCATTACTGCCACGCAGATGTCCCTGGTTCGATCGGGAGAAATATTTGTATGGCCTACATTTATTTCTTTCGTGAGTTTGGGTGTAATTTGTGGTTGTCTAAGTGTATGTCCATGGCACCTGCAATACAGGGTTTCCCTAGTGCGGGGCTATGAGTGTGTGCGTTATTATTGTTATGTTCTTCTCTCTCTGCGGCTGGTTTTATTCTTCTTATTATTATTATAGTATCAGAATCGTGACATACCCTAAGAAATAATTCCACTTTACCTACAGGTGACCATAATTACTTACTTTTATATTTTATATTAGTTTACTTACAAATTTATAAGTCATTGAATATGGATTAAATTCATGTTCACTTTCTTCAAGCTTTCTGAGGTTATAATCGAAGCGTGGCAAAAAACCAAATATACTTGCTATTAGCAAGGACTTGTATGCGTCTGTATCATTAGCAGGGCTGATATTTTGAGATTCGCGAAGTATATTTGATGCATTGCCTAAATAATTTTGTCTCAGTTTTGCAATTTCGGCTGCAATCTCCCCAGATCTCAGGTTGCTATCAATTTTACTCTTCCTATTTTTAGCCACAGTCTCCGAATAGGGATGAAATTTGTTCGTAACCAAGATAGGTTTTCTAAATTTTTTATTCTTTCTGAAGCCTTTAATGGATGTGTTTCTATGTTTTTGTATAAAGGTGGGTTGGCTAGAGTATTGCCGTTCGTAAACATTTTCGCTTTGCGTGTCAGTAAACAAATTTCGGACATATTGCGGTTGCATCCGTAGCTTAACTTTATTCTGTGCTAATTTGTCAATATTGCCAGGGTAAATGCTTTCGATTTTGTGGGCATACCATTGTTTATAATTAAAATGTTGAGTACTCGTTTTTGGGTCAACTTCATAATTTAGTATGTCGATTGGTAGAGTATATTCTTCGGCTTTTGTGTTGTCCGGACGCTTGTATATATATTCAGCCATTTTAATCATTTCTGCACGTTCGTCATATTCGGACATACGCGTATGTTTCATTCTGCCCTTAACCATGGTGTGTTTGGAAATGACTTTTTACAGAAATTTGATCAGACTGCAGGGCAACTAGATTTCTTTATTGCTCTGTGTCACAGGCCCACGTGCACGAGTATAATTACTACGTAATTCTTTTAAGTTAGACATATGTTCCTGGACCGTTATTTTATGGGAATAAAGCAGTTTCGTGTATACTGCATACCGTTGCTATGTCTTGAAACCCTCGTGAATTTTAGTAATAAAATCGTAAATAAATATTTAAATTTGCATTAAAAATACGCAATAAATGTAAATAGGTATAAAAAATTATTTGACAGGCATTGTCAAATTTGCATTTGGACAGGCCTATTTTATAGGAAATAATAATAACTTGCAATCTTTTTATAATGAAATAGTTATTAAGGGATTTCGCAGACTGTTTTCAGTAACCATAGAAAAGTATAATAGATCACAACCGGCTGCTATTCCATTACATACTGCCCGATACCAGGGCTTCGTCACTCGCTCAAGGTTAAGGATAAGTGCTTACCGCGGAGTGCGCCGACGTCGGCGCAAGCGCTCATACAAATTTTTCACAAGAATCATCAAAATCTGTTCACAAAGGCCTGAGTTATCGTGTACATACAAAAAACGCAGTCGAATTGAGAACCTTCTCCTTTTTTGAAGCCGGTTGAACATTGGACACGGCTACTTGGCGTATAAATAAGTATTAAATCTATGACCATGACACTGAAATTAGGACGTTACCATTCTCTTAAATTTCGTAGTAGTTTCCTAGCTAGTCTTTATCTGTTGCCTGACTTATACAACTATGTTCTTTTTGATAAAACAATCACAATCTTACTGTTATGTATATAGATTACATACATAAGCTCACGTCCTTGACACACAGGTAGGGTAGGCGGAGACCACGGAACGCCACTTTATCCTGACACAACTCTCGAACCTCACATACATCAACTATCCTTTTCATACAACTTCTTTTTCTTTTATTCATGTCACTTCGGGTCTCAGCCTTTTTGAGGATATCATTGATCTGGTCAATGTAATGTTCTGAGACGTCCTCCTAAAACCCTTCCATCCACATTCGTATCATAAATCTGTTTGGTAATTCTTCTTACATCCATCCGCTCTACATGTCTAAACCACCTCAACATTCCTTTCTCTATTCTAATCACCCACATCTTTTTTTAAGCCACATCTTTCACGTATTATTGCATTCTTTACATTATCACTCGACTTTATTTCACAAATTTTCCTCAACGATCTCATCTTCACTGCATTAATTATACTTTCATGCTTCTTCCGCCATACCCAACTCTCACTATCAAACGTCAGTGTAGGAACCAGCAGCACATTGTGCATCTTACCGTTTTTCTAGTACATTTTTTAGTTTAAAGTAAATATGAAGCATAATCAAGCGAAATAAGAATGTCGGAGACGTTAATATCACTTGGCAATAGGACAATAATTATCTTGTGATGTTGTTTCTGTTTACTTGCTTAATTTTCATTGTAAAATAAGTGAAGCCCTAGCTGCGACGATACCACATGCGTCAGGGTTTGTCGCGAATACCCATCATCTTCTCTTTCTTTTAAATGTTATGGCCCCATCGCAGTAATCGATGATTTCGCCAATCTCAAGCTGAGGAACGCACGCGTTTTTTTTTATTAAGAAACAGCATACTACCAAAGTTTTAGCAATGTCATTGGACTCGTTTAAAAACCAGTGGAACAGAGCTTAAATTTAATGTTTGTGAGAGACAGAAGTCTAAACTTCATTTTTTCAACGGGAAAGCCCGTATCTTACATAGGACCATCATAGGACCAGTCCTATCTTTTGGTGAATGGCAAATTCTGCACTTAAGTTTATTTACGCACAAATTTGGTTAGCGAGTAATTTAACAAGTATGTGTATTGTTTATGTGTAAGGTGCGTGTTCATGTCCATGTGCGTGTGCACGTGCACGTGTGCGAGTATCCTAGGCTCTTGAGAGCAAAAAAAATCTGTGTGCAAAGAATGTCTTAAAAAATTTTGTGTTGTAGACAATGTAATACCTCCTCTTGTGTGCTTATTTATATATTTATTTGGCAAACCAACAGAGTTACATATAATGCTTATACTAGAGGTTACATTCTGCATTGTTCTTATATGTATTTCAGTTACATGTAAGCTCGTTACTCAACCAAATGCTGACTTAGAAAGTTATAAAAACTATAAATATTTATAATGTATTAACGAAATAATTGAAATACATTTACGAAAATGAAATTAAATTTAAATAAATAATAAAATTAAAAATGACATATTATTAACTGCAATAACATTTCACTGTTTGATAGTACAAAAATGTAAAACAATTAATATAGTTACTTATAGAAAAACATAAATCCAAACTACCAATTAATAATTTTTATGGGCATAACATTCAAGGATTCGATTGGGATGAATCAGTAATGAATTCATTCTAATCGACGACGACGACAATTACGACGAAAGTGGAAGGGCGTGTCATGATGGATATCTATGTCACTTCTTTTTTCACACAGGACATTGTACTCGTTGCATATTCTAGTGATTGGTGCATTACAACCTATATTTATGCGGCAAATTTGCGGAGCAAAGACTCTAAAAATTGGCTGTCGTGGTAGGTGGTGAGGGACTACGAAGTTGATTGCTGTCAAAATTTCGCTACAAATAGTGGTTCCACGAAGTATTTTATACAGGAACATCAGATCCAGGAGCAGACTACGACTGCGAAGAGAAGTCAAACCAAAATAGCGAAGATGTTGGTCGTAGTGTTATCCATGTGAAATGTTGGGAGATATAAAAGCGTGTAAAGGAGCGCTGAATGGTCTCAATCCTTTGCCAGTGCACAACGTAAAATGGGCTCCACACCGTAGAAGAATATATCAGGTGGCTTTGCGCTAACGCATTGTACAATATTATTTTTGTTCGAGACAGGAAGTCTGTGGTATTGCGCTTGATGAACCCCAGCATCTGCGTCGATTTACGGATCATATTGTTGTAATGGGGTATAAACTTCAGCTTGCCATCCAGCAAGACTCCCAAGTCGCGAATGTCCCGTGTCTGTAAAAGAGGTGTGCCATTCTGAGTGTAAGTGGATAGGATAGGCAGTTTTCTTCTAGTGAAATTCACAAAATTGCATTTCTGGACATTGATGGTCATACTGTTATCAAGTCACCATTGCTGTATCCTGTTTAGATAATGTTGGATTAGCATTGTATCTTGAGTACATTTTACATGCTTGTAAATTTTGAGGTCGTCTGCGAATAATGAGCATTTACTGTAATGGACAGCTGATGTGATGTCGTTGATAAACAGGAGAAACAGAATAGGAACTAAATGAGAACCCTGGGGCACTCCCGATATAGCGCCATTTGACTAGCACACATATCCCTTGACTGCCATAAACTGTGTTCTATAACAGAGATAGGGGACAAACCAATTCAACAACGAGCCATGAAATCCGTATCCCTCCAACTTTTTTATTAGAAGAAAGTGACTGACCTTAACTAAAGCGCTGGAAAAATCTGTATAGATCACATCCACCTCGCTACCATTGTCCAAGACGCGACTGACATTGTCAACGAAGGGTACCAGGTTACTTTGCACCGAGCGACCACCAACGAAGCCATGCTGATTAAGGGAGAAGCTGAAATTCACGTGACGGGCAACAAGAGCACAAACAACAGACTCAAATATCTTCGAAAAACAAGCCAAGATAGAAATAGTACGATAATTCGCCACATCATTTTGATCGCCTCTTTTGAATATTGGACCGACCCTAGCTCTCTTCCACTCTTTTGGAAAAGAACCCTCCGTCAATGAGTGGTTAAATATGTGAGGTAAAGGATATGCTAGTGAGTGAGCTTCTTTTATCGGGATTAAATTTTGTATTATATATTTGGTATAATTATCTAGTCGAAAGTAATTTAGAATCGTGGACTAAGCTAAGCCTAGAGTATAGACGTGGTTGAAAAAGGTTCACCTTTTAATATTAGTTGACTTTTAGTATTACAATAAATAAATAAGTATAAGAAAAACACATTTTTACTCATGAAACGTAATATTTGGAGAACAGTACATTGAGTGACTAAAAAGGACATTGTGTAACTAAGACAAAACTAAAGACAAAGACTTGACGCTCGTCAAGTCCGCGCTGCAGTCGATTTGTCACGATTATTTCTCTGACCATTTGTCTCATCTGTGGCATAATGTCGAACATCATCAAACAGTTGTAGTGGTAGTACCAAATAAGAGCGGGTTCGTAATACTGTAAAAAACAAACTTTAATAAATTAATATGACAGTTTAAAATTATACTAGTATAATAAGACAAGCAGGGCAACCCCAATCTATTGAGTGCATCAATCCCATACGTCACTCGGACCGTAACCAGGGCTCCATTACTCGCTCGAGATTACACGATGAGTGCCTATCCACAGATATATATCTAGATAGACGCCGCAAGTACAGCAATTTGTATGAAAACCAAGCGTGCCACGTTTTTTGTCACAAGAACTATTTAGTGATGGAAATCTCCTTCCGCTCTAAATCGATTGATTGAACGAAATACGGGTAAAATTCTATTAATCGATTCTAAATAGAATTTTGTTCAAGTATTTGTTGATTACAAGTAGTAGTAATATTCATATAGTAGAAAAAAACTAGAATAAGGTAATTAAGTCCTTTATTTTATTTGTTTGTATAAAGCGATGATTACTTAACAAAATTTAGACTTTAATTTTTAATCAACTTCAAATTATAAAATTATTGTCCTTCCAATAAAATGAGCTTATTATATGTAACATCCTTTTGTAATAGAAGATCTTATCGAATAACTTAAATAATGCAAACACACGTCAATATATCGTCGTTGCAAATTTAAAACCTCTTATGTGACATTTTGGTCGAAAAGGAGTTTTGTAAATAGTTGAAAAGCGATTTCAAAGAGTAACTGACTGAAAAAACTTTCATGTGAATATCTTCTTATTTCAATGAGTTACGTATCATTTTTAAAATATCTTAAGTGTTTGTCTACATTTAATTGTTTATCTCTAACCTCCTATGTGACTGATGAACACATAAGAGGTTTTAATATCAACTTCGTTACAATAACTTGCAATCTCCTATGTGATCAGCAGGACACTTATTAAAAAGAGAGGACAATATTACGTCATATACGCATAAAAGAGAGGTGTGTTTTACTTATTAGAAACAAAATATTCGATCGTTCTGAGGTCAAGGTTAAGCGTGCATCGTTTGTCAGTCTGGTTGCAACGTTTGGCGCGCAAACACTACCGAAACTAAGTACTTGCTGCGTTGTCACGTTAAACGAATTTCTGATTAAATAGTGTATAGTTAGCTTCTCATTGAATTTAAATATGAACAACTGTAACAGTCGGGCTCACCGAATGGTGAATTTAGTGTTAAAATCTCAGTTGCCTACTCAACATGATGACCAAAATAGTATCTCTGCTGTCGACGGCGATGGTTCAAATAAATCACCGCCACATTTCAATAATTTATTAATTACGCCGGAAGATCTAGGATTGAAACTTGCTGTACGTTCGAAATCACAATCACTCTCGCTTTTGCGATTACCGTCACCTACTGCGGATATTGTACACGACTGGTGCAGTGAAGACGAAGCGCCGTTAGTAACGTCTACTCGAGCTACCGTACATTCTGCGTTAGACACTTCTCATGAGGTCAGAGACAGGGCAGAAAATGTAAAAGAAAATCTAGGAGATGATCTTAACACTTTTTTAAATTTACCACTTCCAGAGTCACCATCACCTTTGACGCGATTCTGACTTTAATTGATAGTGATGATAGTTTGCAAGATCCACACTGGACCCCAGTGTCTAAAAAGAGGCGTGTGCATCTAACTTCATCAGAAAGTGAAGATGAAGTACAGGTGTCATTGATAACGAATGATCCAACTTCTAGTGAGACTTTTCCACCGCCTACAGACGATGAAATTGAGCATCAAGTCAGGTCTACGCAGATCAATAATAAACAGGGAATCAATATTGTGCAAGTGAACAGGAAGGCTAGAGTTTTAGGAGAAGTTTACCTGGGATTTAAGAAAGTAGATGATGACAAGTATAAACCGTGTGTTGAAAGACCCAAACGAACTATCAAACCACGTTGTTTACATTCAAAGTCGATTACAAATCCGAAATAAAAAAATGCGTTTATGTGCGATATGAACTTGCGACTGCCTCAATTATTTTTACTAGATGGTTATCTGTTGGTAATTGATCAAATTTATGAATGGCAAGACGACTGAAAATGTTACTGCTGACAAAATATTTTTTAGATTTTTAGATTAAATCTTATTAATCAGAAGAGGTTTACTTAATGAAGGCCTTGTGTATATTTTTTGCGATTTGTCTATTATTTCTCGGATTACTAACTCTGCTATTCTGCATATTTGGATAGCATCTCAGGTGGGGATAAACTAGACCTCCTTGAAAGCAACGAACTCATATGTATGACCAACTCCAGGTTCTTGTAAAGACAGCTCTCTGTTACGTACTTCGCATTTTATATTTTTTTGTATTACCTGTACTACATATCCGGCGATGTACGTAATTATTTGCTCACTATATTCGGACATTCGAGGTAACGTGCTGCAAAAATTAATGAAATTACAGATACTGCTAATAATAGATACTACAAAACTGAAAAAAAAAACGAAACTTTACTAAACTTTATTATAAAAAAACAGTTAAAGAATATTTTTATAATATTGTTAAGGTCATAATAATTTTCGTCCCTATGTTTTCAAAATCGATCAGAATCGAGAACAGTGTTGTCTAACGTATATTGTATATATATATATATATATATATGTATTACAATGTAATTACAAATCATGAGGCAATCACTCAGTTGTATATTTGGTTTCTCGATATTCACACAAAATCAAAATAATTTAAAATAAATTATGTATCTTCTGATTACAAAATCACTTGCCCGTGGAAGGAAACGTCACTGTTTACTCGTTTACCCACAGTTATGGTGCTTTTGCAGTTTGTAATGGCACGATAATATCTCTACGATAACGGTCGAGCGCGTTCAGAAGTGTTATATGTGTTTATTAACATACTTATATGCCACATTTTGGGCGTTTCGCGTGTGTTATGGATCCAGTTAAGTGATTAACTGTAACATCAGGTCAACGCACTTGCATTCGCAGCAGAAACATGTACCCCGAGCATTATTACAACGTGACCGCTGACAAAATTATTATTTTATATACTAATTATAACTTACTAATCGGCCCAACGTTCTTAACATCGGTAACGTAGACTAAGAGTCGTATTCCAGAATTCTACTCAATACTCAAGTCAGGACTTGAGTATGATTTCTAGTGCTTTAAATCATACTCAAGTCCTGACTTGAGCATTGAATAGAGTTCTGGAATACGACCCTAAATTCCTTTAGTTAAGATCTTTTTTGTATAAGTACTTTTCGGCCCAACGCTCCGCACTTCAGACGTAGTTTAAATTCTTTTAGTTACGAAATCCATTGTGAAAGCTTAATGGTACTATTATCTACATGTTTTCTCCTTTTTCTTCACCTCAACTGCGGCCGCCCTATTTAATTCATGTCTTGCTGCAGCCCGTACAAGCTGTTGATCATTGGATTACTGTTTTGTTTTTATGTATTTTGATTTAATTTCTTGTTGTTTCTTGGGTTGCATTCATACATTTAATTTTAATTATACCTTTTAGTTCTACTTATAGGTCGTAAAAATAATTTGAAAATGTTGAGATGTTTGTATAATGTAAATATTCAAATAACTTTTGTTAAATGCGTTGCTGAAGTATTGAAATTTTTAAACCAGTATCGCGGATTGGTATCTCAAATATGGGAGTATGATTATGAAATGCTGAATGATTCTGAATTAGAGACACTCTTGTTGAAACGACCATAAACACATTACTATTTGATGCAATTATTTCACCGAATGAACGCCTTAGTTCTGTAATGAACAGTGCGTGTGAAGACCCGCGCTTTGCAATTCGAGTGCACGGCGAGATTATGCGATTGTGTGGATTGGGCGCGCCGCGGGCACGCATACAAGCCGCGCTGCTAAGTTTGTATGAAGTAACACTGCTTTTCTTATTAAACTATGCTAACACCGTGTGGCTAATGTTATGTTAATGTAATATAAACTTACTTCAAGTTATAATAAAGTGTGTTGCAGTACTTGGAAGGAATTCAGTTCTCATCTGATCTTTATTACATTTATCGGAGTCTGTTTAGTACATTCACTACATATACCATAGTACAGTCCTTTGCTGAAATGAGTAATGAGATAAATTAAATTAGACATACATATTGTACGAGTATATCAAATTTCCATGAACTTTATTAGCTCTAATACGGTTGTTTAATAATAGAAGCCATATGTGGCGAAGTGCACGTACAATATTATTCCCATCGGTTTGCGTTGATAAGTTGATTAAACTCATATTATAATACACTAATCTACATTAACAACATTCTCATTGATTGTGAACAAAACGCCTGACACTTTTTTCAGAAGAAAATGTGAAAATTAGCATGTTCGTATTGTTTTAAATACGTGAATTTATATTACTTCCGGCAAATGAGGGATTTTAATTACCAGGGCCATGTGCAAACGTGATAGAAAGACTGTTTCGTCGTGATAGTAAATAGATCTAGTTGAATTATTGTGAAGGAGCTGTTCATGCATACTAGTGTTTTTGGTTTTGAAAATATTTTTTGCAATACTTGTTTGATTTTCAGTTTCTATTAATTACGCAGATAAGTCATTAGTGAGTAAGTTGGCGTTGATTCATAAAGACCGTCTTTTGGTCTACTTTCCATTAAAATCTTCTCTAAACCAGCTTCTATATTGAACATATTATACGCGGAGTGCAAGAAAGGACTCACCCCCCACGATGTACCATTCCGTTTCTATACTGTTGAGTACCTTACGCAGGTTCGCAAATCCTTTCATAACAATAGCAAGCATTACGCGCTGCGCAGATGGAGCAACTTTGATCATCGAGTTTCGGCAACTGGCCACCCGCAACTAGCTGTTTATGACGCTTTTCATAAATTTCAAGAAACCGCGCAGACTTCGACACGACAGACACGCAGTTTTCGATTGCCGAAATCCGTGATTAAATAAATTCTTCATTGCTGTAATTTGGAACTTGCAAAATTGTACCGGTTGTCTCCAGTTGTCAGTTTCTGCAACCGGCAACCGGAACTCGTGAAGCAACTTCACTCCCTCCCCGTTCCCCGCAGCGTCAGTCTTGACCGTGGATTTCGAAAGTTTATATAAAATTGCGGTATCCGGCAACAAGGCCTTTTAGTTGCTCCAACCGGCAACCGTTAATGGAAACTTGTAAAAAGTTGCCAGTTGCGTCAACTAAAGTTGCTCCATCTGCGAACCTTATAGCATAATCGATACGATGAGAAGAAAAACAAGTGGTCCTCATACTAGACTATTTAAAAAGGCTTTTGAGAAACAATAAGGGCATTTCTCCTAGAAGGGCTAAATTCTCAACTTCGGTGGTCGCATTCTTTTTCTTAATTTCAGGAAAAACGTTATGTTTATAGAAGGAAAAAGAACTCAAACTTACATAAGATTCCGTTTATTGGGCAACTAGATTCTTAATGGTTTATATTATATTTGTGATAATCCACCGAATTCAGCTACCACCGAAAGCAGGATTTTTTAACAAAAAGCATAATTTTTGTATAAAATATTATGAAAAGGGCAATAAAAACATTCAATAATACATAAACATATTATAATACAACATAAACATTTACTAATATGACTAACTAACTATTCAATCAGGCTTTAAAAATCAAAATTTATTTATAAATCGACCAGAACAACACAAACAAATTTCATTTTATGGCTATTAATTAAATTTAGTTTTCAGTTTGGCTGTTCAGGCTTTTTTCAATCACGCAAAGTATTTCCGTACCTCTTATTAAGAAAATTGAGAACGTAATCTGTATCTACAAAAGCAATAAATTTTTGGAAACTTGCGCGATTTATATCTTTCATTAGTTTTTATACATGACGAGGTAATTCATGCAGCTTCAAACTCTTTCCTTCCGATTTTTCTTCGCATACCTCTGTCTATCTTTTTCTTTAAACCTTTCATATATAATCGGATCGCTTTTTATCATTGCTTTTCTAACACGTTCCTTCATTTTCTTGTTTTCTGTTTTGATTTTCCTTATTTTAGTGGGAAGAAAGTAGTAATATAAAATTGTGAAAATCAATAATATTAACTAAACTTTTACATGAAAAAAAGAAAATATGGCTTCGATGGTAGATTTTTCCGACTTCGGTGGAAGCTTTTTGAATTCGGCGGCATAAAATCCACCGAATCTAAGGCCACAGGATACAGAAAAAAAAATATTTTTGTTATTACTCATAAACGACAATACTTGTAAAAACAATAAATTGTTATTATACTTTAGTCGTTACAACACATAGCATAAAAAATAATGCATGCATGCGATCATAAAAATTTAGTTTTTGAAATATCGTTCACACCGAATTTAAAAATCAACTTGGACCAAATCCACCGAATTACGTATTTACACGCGAAAAGTCCTAAAATCGGCAACGAATAATACGAACGAATTGCGAAGCTTCTAAAATGCTTCACTTGTGATGTGTAGCGTGATTAGTAACTACCACCGAAATCCCGCGTAAGCCTGGGACATGCAGCAATTTTGGTATTGTGATAAAACTATTGTCTAGTTTATTGTGAAATTCAGCTTAAAAGTACTGTCATCTAGTTTATTATACGTGAACTAAATAGTCTAGTATTGATATACGGTTTAAATTTTGAGAAAAATGACACTGTGTTGGATTCTGCATTCGGGACACGCCACCGTTGCGTTGTCAGGTTTTAGACCTTTCGGATTTTTTTTTTCCATTAGGTCCGAAAGGTTTATTGGGAAGATTTAGTGCTCTCCAGTTAGCTTGCGACTATATTATACTCTTTTATTTTTTGTAGCTTTTTGTTTTGGTAAATAAGTGGAGTTTAGTGCATGGACACAGAAAATTACGGCTTTGGAGAAATATAAAGGTCCATGATATCCGTTAACAAGAACAATTGTTTCACTATGATGTAGTGGGACATTAGGCCGATAAATTTTATATATATTACACGTGGTTGCTAGTGACGCAATCGATTTGGAGTACTTTTAACCAAAGGAGTAATTCGAATCATTCTATAGAAACTAGCTCCGTGGCCGAAGGGTTACCATGACACGCAGAGGTCCTGGGTTCGATTCCCAGGCCGGGAGAAATATGTGTATGGCCCACATTTATTTCTCTCGAGAGTTTGGGTGTAATTTGTGGTTATCTACGTGTTGCGTTATTATTACCTTTTCTCATTGATGTACAAACGGCAACGAGAAGGGCGCTCACTGGTATGATAAGATGACCTTTCAAGCCCCTCGTATTTTTGCAACTTTTGGATTGGAGTACTCCTGCAATAAATAGTTTTGTTTAACGCGTTTGTTGTGTACTAACAAGTAACGTCGCCATCAACATGGAATTATGTATTAGGTTACATCCTGCAGCGTACAGACCCACTATAAACAGAAGTTTTAGAACAGTAGTGTACGACTGAATTTACACCAAGGTCGACTCCATTTAATTAATTCCAAAATAATTTAAATGGATGAAACACTTTGCGGACAGCATAAAGTACGGACATTTCATTATGTCCGTATTTCATTACGACAAAACCAATCTGCCATGTGATATTTGGCTGGTCACATTTTCAAGTAGCTTCTAAATCTGGTTTATAATTCTCTGCTCTACAAGCCAAGATCATACCGTTTTAGACGTGTTCTTCTGTCAACATATTTCTATATTTGTTCTTTATTAATTTCAGTTGAGAAACGCCTGTTCGCATAGATATGTTGCTACGAAAACGCTTTGATGCTGAGTCATCGAGTATAGTTATAACCAGAAATAGAGACGAAATAAGGGCCATCCAACTCATCAGTCAAATGGTACTGATATCACTTTTAAATATCAACTCTCGTTTGCGTTGAAATCACAAATTAGAAAGCTGAAATAGTACAGCGCCAACAACTGACCTGTGTGTACGTCTCCGTATATTCCAAAAATATTCTGTGTTGTAAAGAAGATAATATCTCTAACTATGCCATAGCCTGTTCCATTTGGTGGTGTGGGAAAAACAACAAAACATCTAATTACAAAACAAACAAGATCACATATTCTCATCGGTAATTAAGTAAATATTAAATTAGGTAATTTTTCAATATTCGTCCATTATAGCAAAGATCAAGTTAAACTGGTCGATTTAAAGTGAAACAATTGATGAAACCCGTCAATTGTTTCGAATTCGGGCTGGCCAATCGGAGCGCAGTTGTCACCGCAATGATATGGCAGAATGGTTTTCAAATAAATTAAATGACATTTTGGTTGTGTTTCTGGTTATATACTCGATGTGCTGAGTGAACAACTACGTAACATTTTGTTCACATGACAAGGTCCATGACTGACTAAAAACTACAGCATTTTTGTATACTTATATGCTTTTAAGTAGGAGCTCATCTCTGGTCTTCTCTTTAAACTAATTTTCTAACGGAATCACGGTAGCGACGGAGTATATAATTAGCGTGAACTTTGCAATTTGCTATTTCATTATTTTTTATTCGACTTTATGTTCACAGATGCCTAAAATAAAGCTGGCGAGCTACCAAGCACATGAGTCAACAAACGGACCAGAAGCAAAGTTCATACAGCTGCGCTATAATAGGTATACTATTACAAGCTTGGGCTGCGTGTGTGCGTGAGCATTGGCGGCTTCGTCGCGTACGGAGAGAGAAACCTGGGGTTCTACTCCGAAACAATTACTGCGAAATAAGAATAATCAACTAAATTAAAAGACGAATAATGCGAATGAAGCTTCATACTTAACATTCTCTTTTGATTTGGTCGTTTATTACTTCTTTGACAGTAATTGCTTTGGACGTAATAAAGCAAATAGTATTTTCACCCAAACTTGTTTTGTCATTCATTATTTAAATTTACGTCATAACGCAAAAGCATGGTCTGATGACCAGGACAACCATAGAGAGTTTTTTTTTTTTATTTTTTTTTATTGTGACTCGGCAAAATGACTGCACCGCGCCTGATGGAAAGTGCGAATACAGTCCAGAGATGAGAGTAACGGATGGAAAACACAAATATCTTCACTCCGTCACTATCATTTTGCCGGTCTGGCCAAATGCTTCTTCACACTACGTTTGAAGGACCCGATGTTATAGAGGGGAGGGAATACATGCGCCGGGAGTTACAACACTTCCCCTACAGCAGATCAGGGTCTGTCTATAACACCTAGTGAAGATCGTGTTTTAAGAAAGCAATCCCTAGGGAGGGCTTTAGTTAAAGTGTCCTCTATCTGCTCTTCGGACTGTATGTAGAGTACAGAAGCTTGTAGCGCGTAACTATATGTTTCGTCATTTAGTGAAACACTACATATTTTATGAGCTTGATTGCACTCTGGTTGTCGACATAAAGTGTAGGAGTGACAGCTTCTCCACGCGCTTCCTTGTAGAGACGAGTGAACCATATAACTGTCTGTGCATCAAGGCTGCCCGCCACAAACTCCACCTCAGTGGTTGACAGAGTTTTCAGTTGACACACATCTTTGTGTTTTCGATGACCATGACACCCATTATTTAAATTTATGTTGTAGCACAATAACATGATCTGATGGTCAGGACAACCATAGAGGTTCCAACAGGACGAATGTCGGGCGGAGTAGATGTCAGGGTATAGATTGGTCCTAGATAAATCATATAAGCGCTTTAAATTAAAACACTGTAAGTTACTTTACAGTGCATTAGTTTGACACGGCCAACAAGTAATAATATATAATCGATGGACATGGCAGACATTTGACCTATTCTTAAAGTAATGTATCCAAATTAACACTCTTGATAAGAAATTTAAAATAAATAGACAGTTTTGCCATCTCCTAAATAATCACTCTTTATATGATACGTGTTTGAGAAAGTAAGGCATCGATATTTGGTAATGAAGATATCAAACAAAGCGTCTTTAGGTAAGGTATGAGTTATGTAAAAAGAATAAAAAATAACTACTAACTTCTTTCTACCTGAGCTTTTGGCCTTATGTTTTTCCGTCTTTTTAACGACCTTTTTACAAGAATCCTTGTCTCTTGCTTCCTTGCGTTCTTTCGAAGAAATCTGTTGTGCCTTGATTTGTTGTTTTGCTTTCTTCAGTGCTGATATTACTGCGCGGTTGGCAGTTACAAAAATTCTTGTGAGGCCGTATAAGGATGCGTAAGTTACTTGTTTAATTGTTGATCCCTCTAGAAAAACATTTTATGGCCACGTTAATTAAGGTACTTACATAAAATACCTAAAATCTAGGTCTTTCTTATTTTTCTTTTTTCATAGACTTAATATCACAGGTCACAGGTCGAAATTCAAGTCTGGGTTTGGTCACGACAAGGAACGTGATCCCGTTTCGGATTGTACAGTGTGAGAGGATGTCTAAACAGCTCCTCTCGCTTGCTTAGTTTCTTTAATTAATTATAATAATTAATCTAAAAAAAGCTATATCTAATCAAAAAAGCCCTGGTAGTCTTATGGTTTGACTTTTCGCCTCTCAAGCAGAGGTCGAGGGTTCGAAGTCGGGCTCGCACCTCTTAGTTTCTCAGAACATATGTGCGAATTTTAATTAGCAATTTACTATGAGCTTTTTTTTCTTTTAGTAATGGCTTTGCATTTAATCAATCGGCCGAAAGAAAGTTCCCAATAATTTGCAAGTGCATGAAGTCAATGAATTACCTAAACCATAGGTTCTCTAACATTCGGCCTCACCGCCCAATTAGGCTAGATAACAAAATTTCAACGCTTCCCACCAAAAATACGTATTTTTTATATTAAGTTAACACAAAAAGTCACAAGGAAAAAATTATATGCATTATGTGTAGTGTAGTTCACATAGATAATTCAAGTTTTTTTTTCAAATGCGGACAGCATCAATGCCTCCAATTGGTTCCGAGGCCTCAACCGCCCACCCCGAGGAGTCTTCAGCGCCAACTGGGGAGCGGTAGGGACCACTTTGGGAAACTATGACCTAAACCATCTCCATAAAGGAGACCCGAGCCCACCCGGGGAAAATCTAAAATGGGTTGACGAGGATGATAATTTCCAGGCGTTATAATTTTCCTTTGTACTTATTGCTAAATGTTTGATATTTTATTCAAACACAATATGACTGTACACTTTTCTCACATATAACGTATATAACACTCTGAAAGTTTTTCGACAAAAAAATTTTGTACGAAACCCTGCCCTGCTATAATTTATTTTGTAAATACATTTATTTACTAGTCAAAATCCAAATGTTTCAATTTTACATTTCCCTCTACAATTTTTTACGAGCCAATTTGAAACGTAGATTTCAACCGGTGTTTATAGATAAAAGCCTTTCTAAAGTAATCTGTACTTTGAGGGACGAAGGAAGAAGTGGTCGCCCTTGACACCAGTTACTGAAAGAATTGAGCAGAATAGGTGAATCACATATGAAGAGATTCAGCACATTTGCGGATCGAGAAGTGTTCAAGATCACACAACCTCACTGATGTTCAGAAGCGTGCCCGCGTAATGCCATAACATGATTGCTGAGTTTGAAGCAGGCTCGTCTCGGATCGTTTACGATATCATTACAGGTTAAGAATCTTTGAATATAGGTAGGTATATTAGAAGACGTCGGTTCGAATCCGGCCAGGTCGAAGGATTTTTTTCTGAGTGTTCGCTCTGTGTGTTAATAATTATAACAAAGTAGTAGAGTAATTTCACATACAATTCAATAACAAAATTTAATCTTGGATTTATCAATAAGATCCAGAAACAAAGCGCCAGTCGACGGTTTGGCTGTTTGAAGTCGAATCAACGGCCAACAAAATTAAAGAATTGAGAAGCGGAGGGCAGACTTTGATCGCTAGTTTTTTGATTTTTGCTGGATATCTTTGCGTAGGCAGTCCCATCTCTTTCTACATAAATTTTGTTGATAGTGTCCCTCCCTATCAACCGCTTGGTTATGCGGGAAGGTCACTATGATCTATGCGAGCGAACAGGGACCATCTAAGTCAGGTCCTAACCCCGGATCAGCACTTTTGCACGGACTTCATCCGGTTCTCTGTAAGGCTAGTGCCGTAGGTACCGGAGCTGTAGGCACGCTCACTTCCCCTCGCGCTTCGCACGACTAACGGTTGCCACAGTTCTTTGCGTAGACAGCGGTAGACAGGTTTTGGAAAATTTAATTAAAAAATATACCCACAAAACATTTTTTTTGGTTTCGAAAAACTTTCTGAGTGCCCCGCTTATAGTAAATATTTAGGTGACTTTGCAGTACATTAAAAAATTAAATGGTAGTAATACAAGCGTTAGGAGGGATATAGCGGATTATGGGACACTTTGCGTTCGTCACTAAATTCTGTCTAGAGCGCGTTCTTTTTTCGTTCCTACTTTGATAAAACTATACAAAAAAATAAATTCATATGACAATGTTCGGTTGGTATAATAACGTTTTCAGATATATTGTTAATAATTCCCGATATTTTACACAAAATGTTGAACCACAGTACCTAGTTCGTCCAGGGAAGCTCTGCCACCTTACCTGTTTCTGTAGCCATGGAGTAATGTGACCATCACTGCGTTCCGGTTTAGAAGGGTAAGGATGCTGGTGAACAGGCACATGGGACTTGTCAACTTATGTCTCAGAGTGACTGGCGTAGCGGCATGGTCCCTCAGGTCTTTGTGCACTATTATGGACAGGCGTGTCGCCTAGTTCGTCCCGTAACTAACAGCAAAACAATTCGTTTCTAAGCTTTGGTTTGTGTTCAAATCTTTTATTAATAAATCACACTAACCGCAATACCGGGGTTCGCTTTTAATTTCTGCCGTAGACGTCTCACTGTTATCATATAGACTCATTATCTACGCTTTTATGTATTGACCGTTTCTTGTGTTTCCACTTCTCTATTTTATTACTTAAGTTTAATTTTATTACTGGTTTTATTATTGTGTAAACGTGGGACTACATTCCTGAAATAAAAATTATTATTATTATTATTATTACACATTTGTCAAAACTTCAATCTAGTACATACATATCGTTGGTTCTATTGCTGTTTTATCATATTCATATTTCGCGTTGAGTTGTTTTGAAAGTGCTACAGCTCCATCGATACAATCGATGACTTCGCTAACGTTAAAGTTAAGGAAGACACTTTATTACTCAAAATT